GCGCGCGCGGCAAAATGTTTCTGTACTGCTGCGCTACAGGACCCCTCGTGTGCTAACCTGCCTGCAGCAGAGCACAGAGTTGAATGTTACACAGTTATACGCCGTTGTAACGCGAGCGCATGGCATCACTCGCGAGAGCTGTAGTATCGTATAAAGTTACTTCTATCCTATATAGCCCCGAAAGTTGCCGCTGCCACGCGCGCGCGTTAAAACAATTCATAATTGGCAAGTCTCGGCTCTTTCTCTTTGTGCGCTGCACACCTATATATATACACCGCAGATTCCGAAATCTGTACTACATTGCACTGTATATAATATAGGCCACAGAGTGGTAGGTATATATACATTTTGTGTGCGCTTTATTACGACGTAACGATTCCCCGCCCGTTGTAAAATAAAAGATATGTAGGAAGGCACTACACAGGTACCGCACGAATTGCAACGAGCGAGTCGAGTATCGCGTTACGAGCGCGGAATAACAGAGGTACGAGCTAGTTTGTGGTATTGTGTATTTGGGAGTCGATTTTTTTAATTTTCCAAAACGGAGATTTTTACTTGATTGAGAAAATAGGCGATACGTACAGGTTTGTCGCATCTCGTCCGTCACCATCCGATGAACGATATCCGTCCTCCTCGCTGAGTGTCTTGAAATTAACAAACAAACAACTTCTCGATGCTGCTTATGCGTCTTTTTTCTTATTACAACAATTATTATTATATATCACACTTGGCGAAACTCGCGATGAAAACCGAACTCGACCTTTGACTCGTCGTCGACTCGCGTGCGAAGCGCAGGAGAGCAACGTTCGATCGGTTATGTTTATATGCTTTTACGCGTTATGTATATAGCGAACAAGCGACGACGATGCGGAGCTACACGTTGACGCTGCGGCACTGAAACTGACTCGCCGGCTCCGCAGCAGCAGGCCAGTTCGACTCGCGCGTGTGCTCCACCACCGTAACAGGAGGGAGGCAACTGCGAACTGCTGCTGATGCTGCTGCGCCGCGCACGCCACCCGTTTTACTCCTATCCTGCCGTGTGCTATTGTATAGGGTAAAGGGCTAGAACGTATTATACAGACTCGAGCGCCGTTTGCGCAGCTTTCCGTGATGAGATTTTTTCATTGTAAATGTAACCGTTAACTCGTTTATAGGGCATTTTTTACCTGATTATTTAGCGATGCGAGGAGAAAGATATTTTGCCTTTATCGCGTGCATCGATACACGTTTTATGCTTTGTTTGTCATTGGCTCATTGAAGCAGAAGCAACGAGTGGCAAGGTTTCGAATGATCGATACTTGAAAATCGGTACAGTTACAGATTTTCAAGAAAGATTGCTCGTTTCAGAAGAGTTCTTGATCGACAGAAAATTGAAACGAATTAAAAAATTAATCGGATCTGCTATCATATCATCATATCATTTCTTCCTCTTTATTATACCAACGTTCGTCAAGATCTACCGGCCTTTTGAAAAATTCGTACTTATTGAACGCGGCAACATACGATCGAAACAATATAGGGTAAAACACCTATTACTGTGCCCAAGACACAACCTTCAATTCCCTATTACTGAACATTTGATTACATGTTAAAAATCCAGTAATATGGACAGGCACAGTAATAGGTGTTTTACCCTAGATCACAAAAAATATGTATACAAAAAGCCGTGAAACTTGAAGAAAAAGAAGCGTGACCTTTTCGCAGTAAGCTTTAACGTTCGAGTGAACGTCTGCCTGGACTCGTACGAACTCGCCCAGTTCGAACGAGATGGTATACGATTTTGAAGCTACACGTAGCCGTTACAAAGACGCAATCGAGGCACTCCCGAGTGCCGAACGTCACCCAATCACAGCGACGAACGAGATCAGTTTGTGACACGCAGCTCAAGTCTCGAATTGTTTCGAGAACGCGAATAGAACGTTGTGTCGTCGGTTGCGGTCCATATAGCAGCTGTGTTGCGTCGCGGTGAAGAACGAACACGCGAAGATTTTCGAACTGCTACTGGAAAACGGGGCGGATCCGAATCTAGCCGGAACGAGAGGATCGACGGTTTTGCACATCATTTGTGAAAAGTACGATATCGACTTGATGGAAAAACTCTTCGAAATCCAGAAGCGCAAAAATAAAAAGGTGCTGGTCGACGCTCAAGACGAGTGCGGCAATATACCTTATATTTAATTATCTAATGTTACCATTTGAAAAGTTTTGAAATAACTTACTTGTTTACTTTCTCATTGTGTAAAAGTACTATAAAGGTCAAAGTTCAACAAGCCATAAGAAAGTGAATAAACTATTTCAATTAGCCCATTAGAAATGTTAAATAAATTCATTATTCGATTGTCAATAAAAAAAATACTCTATTCACACAATTTCATTTTGTAAGTAAGATTGATCTTGAAAAATGTTTGCACTCAATTCCAAATCATGCGAACAGCACAATTGCTTTTCAAATGTACATTAAAATTGACTGATGGGTTACAATTGCTCGTTGAGTTTCATCTTATCTACTACTGGAAAACCATTTGCTTAAACAACTCAAAATGGATAGTTTTAAGCAAAGCTTTATTTTAAGCAATGATCCAAAAACAATATAACAATATGGATGTTGTGCAACTTTTTGAATGATATTCAATAAAAACACAATCTATGCTTGAAATTATCCAGTCATAATACACTGGTTTCACTTCTAAAATGTTTTAATCACATTAAAGGTGATCCATTAAATCACTTCAACATCTCAATAGTTCTAAACGAATGCTTGTATTTGTAATAAGAAAACAGTTTGTTAAAAATCCTTTTACAATGCATTTATACAATAAATAACATTCTGCCCTTTCTTTGTTTGTTTGTTTTAATTAAAAATTAAAAACTAACGAGTTATTGAAAAGTTGTTTATCAACGCATGTGTCAGTACAATAAGAAATGGCCACCATGAGTTTAAATGCAATTCCCGATTGATTCAAGATCAGTTAAATATCGAATGATTATAGCTCATAATTTTTATCAAGAAAAACGACACGATAATCAAGCCACATTTTCAAACACAAGACAGCGAACGAATCTTCAAGGTAGAGCAACGACATATGGGGGGATGCGGTGATCCCGAAAATATCGATACGTATTACTCGCACACCAACTCGCACATACAGCGCTGAGAGTTACGGTTATCAAGTATCACGACTCGGGCGTGTATATGTCCGGGGTAAATAAGCAGCCGAGGAAATGGCATAATCAAAACAACGCCCTCAGCGTCGGCAACTTAATGACTTGGCGGAGCAATGGTGGTGATGGTGCTGGTGTGGTTGGTGCCTGCCGGATACGGGCTGCTCTCGGGCTCATAAATGCAATTACCGTCCGGGAAAATTAGTCTAAGGTGTCGTCGTCGCGGCCTCGTCAGCAGCAGGCACCAACAGCAGCTATACGTGTACAGCACACGGCACGGGGATGTATACCACGATAGAACTCGGTGCGGTGCATCTTTGGCAAGTGCGTCCGCCGGGGCGACCCGATGTTCTTGTGACATACACTCGCTTACCGTTTCCTGTTGCCCAGTTTGCATGCGTGTGTAGTGTGTGTGTGTGTGCACGCGCAAACGACAAACGAAGCTCGAAATAATTACTATAGGTGTCCCGCGGGCTTCACGCGCGTGTCTCGCTCGCTGTCACACTGCTGATGCGTTATATATCTGTGGGACTTTTGCTATAGTACCCATGTGCGAATGCAGTTCAAAAGAGCTTTTACTTTGACGCGAGCGAGCGACCAAGATTCAATTCCTCTTTCATTAACGCGCGCTCGAGTGTCTTCAAGATATTACGCGTCGGCTAACTAGTTATATAGGTACATATATAGGTACATACCATCGTGCGCAACTTGAAAATCTATATTATATATCCACCTGCAGCAGCTGCCGATGCTGAGCGCGAAAAGGATTTCATATAAATTCTCGCGAGCTTTGTGCTGGAAACGTGTTTGCGAAATATTGTACTTGAATACGCGATACGATCTGTCAAACGTATATATAGTTTTTCAAACTCGTGTTTACCTTTTTACATCTAATGCTTAGATTTAAGAATACTAGTGGCAACCACAGTTGCAAAATGCTGAGCGACTGAATGGTAAATAACGAAATAGCTTACGACATGATGATAATAGTTGTTTCAGCCGTATGAAATTAATAATAGTAGCTTCAATGAGTATCATAATAAATCAATGTTACCACGAGTTTTTTGTGTCAGCAAATTTGGTAAAGCCGTTAAAATTATTATTGGTATAATTGAAAGTAGAACACAAAAATAGGGCGTATTTTTTAGTTTGATGTTCCCTACATGTACATTAGTATAGGTATATATGAATACAGGTTTCCGTAATTCGCACGGAACGAAATAGATTTCACTTATCGATGTTTTGTGCTCAGCGTGTATTGACAACGTTGCGACCAAAGGAATTTGCACATGGCATGCCAACACATATACAGCTGTATGTACGCGTTAAGCTGGCCCGGTGTGCCCACGTGACAATATACATAGATATATATTTGACTACATGACTAACCATGCATATTTATCACACAATAGATTACATAGATGTACGATATTCGCTCGTTGTGTAAAAATGGTAAATGATATAGATGCGACTGTAGTCACGTATTTGGCGTTAGTGTAATATAAAAATGTATATAAAAATGTATATAAACCCTTCATTTGCTCACGTTAACTTTGTTTCATATTTTGCGCGTCGAAAAAAATTATGTGAAAAGCGGAGTGTAGGACACATTATAAGCTTGATTCATGAAGTGTTCAATAATTTGTCATTTCTTTGTAATAAGATACAATTCAAAGAAAATGGCTAATTGTTTATTACGAGATCAATAGTATAATTTCTCCAATAATAAATGATAAGTTTAGAGTGTCTCTGTTGACATAAATTTTCTCAAACTTTCATTTCACGATTTGTAAATATTATTACACTTATGTTACCTAGCTCGATGTGTAACATCATTACAAAATAATTAGTCGTTGATCAAGTTCCGAGTGATAAACATGGACTTCAGTGATGTGTATAACTCTGATGTCAGGTAATTTTTGTTTCGTGAGAATGAAATTTAAAAAAAATGGCATAATCTTTATATTATTGGGAATATTGCAGACTGAAGAAGGAACCAGATGATGTTTCCCCAATTAAAAATGAAGATTATAAGATAATTGACAATGCATGCGATGCTAAAAACGACGAATTCTCGAGTTTTTGTCGAGAAAATTTAGTAAGTGTTGATGTGGGACTGTTTACTGTTTAGTCAATATTTTGATCAAGTATTTTTACTAATCTCATTTCCAGATTTATGGGCTTCGTGGAAATGATGAAAATTCTGGACCCAATAACGATTTGGAAATAGAATTCGAATGTAAGGACGAGAAGCTTGGCATTAACTTATTAGTAGTCAAGAAAATCGAGGACGATTATCCAGATCAATGGCAGCATATGAAAAATAGTTGCGATTATCAGACTCGGATGAAAATTAAAGAAGAAATTGTCGACGAAGTAAAAGAAGAATTAAATTTGGATGGTGAGCTCAGTGATGCATCTGATGCAAATGAAAAAACATTTGCTCAAAAAAGTCTATGCGAAACCCAAACTGATAAGGCACGCAATCGTACCAAATATCCATGTAATATATGCGGTAAAAAATTTTCACGAAAAGATCATCTCAAGGTCCACATCGATTCAGTACATAATGGTGTTAAACATGCGTGTGGTGTATGTGGAAAGTCTTTCACACAAAAACGCTATCTCAAAATTCACATCGATGCGATGCATAATGGTATGGCACCTACTTGCGAAGTATGCGGGAAGAAATTCTTAACCAAGACTAAACTCAAGATTCACATCGATGGAGTACATAATGGTGTTAAACATGCGTGTGGTGTATGTGGAAAGACATTCAAATACAAAGGTCCTCTCAAAATCCACATCGATTCAGTACATAATGGTGTTAAACATGATTGTAGTATATGTGAAAAGACATTCACACAAAAACGTTATATCAAAATTCACATCGATGCGATGCATAATGGTATGGCACCTACTTGCGAAGTATGCGGGAAGAAATTCTTAACCAAGACTAAACTCAAGATTCACATCGATGGAGTACATAATGGTGTTAAACATGCGTGTGGTATATGTGAAAAGACATTCAGACAAAAAAGAGGTCTAGAGAGGCATATCGAGGGACATAATGGTGTTAAACATGATTGTAGTATATGTGGAAAGTCTTTCACACAAAAATGTCATCTCAAAATTCACATCGATGCGATGCATAAAGGTGTGTCACATACTTGCGAAGTGTGCGGAAAGACATTCACACTAAAGGGTAATCTTAAAAGACACATGAATTTAATGCATAATAAGACACAATAAGATATTGTAATAAGTGCGGCAAGACATTTTCTCAAAAAGATCGTCTTATAACTCACATTAAAACGCAGCACGAAGACATTGATCACGCTTGTGTTTTATGCGGAAAAAATTTAAACATAGAAAATATTTATGCAGACACGTCCAAAGTGTGCATGAAGGCAATACCCAAGCACGAGATCAATACAAATGATCTTAAAACGTACCTATCAATACCGTGCAAAATGATGAAACATCGAGACAAATAAATAAATTAACAAATCATAAATTAACATATATTTATTTATTAGCATATAATAAAGAAACATATCATAAATTTTTGCTCAGTAGTGATACTCAAAACACGACATAATTATACTATATCACAATCATGTTACGCTCAGTGTAGTGGTACTCAATACACCACATAAGATATACTTGTCTTAAGTACAATGTTAAATGCCAATACACAAGTAAGACCGATCGCCAAAAAAAATTACGTTTTTTCGAAGTGGAGATGTCGCGAGGTGCAAAACTCAAAATTGCATAAAAAGGCATTTTTTGTATATTGGGATATACGGATGTCGCTAAAAAAGTATACAGCACTCTATCAGCACCGAAACAATGCCAAGTAAAATTTTCAGATCGATTGGTTTATCGCTGCATGAGTTATCGCAGTTAGAGTAAAATATCGAAAATTAGCAATATCGAATGTGTACGACTTTGCTGTGCTCAGCATCAATTAAAGAACGTATTTAGAAAAAATAAATTGCCTTTGACATTGCTGATGGGGAGAAAAAGCGTTAGGATCCTTGTTTTGAAAATCTATGGATACATCATCTAATTAAGTATTTATTTCATTAAGCAATATGGAAAACTATGGACAAAATTATTACAGATAGATCGAGTAGAAATAAATATGGAAAGGTTCAGGGAAAACATTTGAATGACAAAACTACTCATTGAGTAAAAATACGATTATTTTATTTAATCTTTCATGAAATCGTTGCTATAAAAATGAAAAGTAATAGATCGTCACAATAAGTTCCTTATAGAGTATATATTGCAATTCCTAAGAGGAGACGTTGGACATGGTCGACGCCGTGTCGGAGTTACCGCAGCCGTTGTTGTCGCTCTGGAGGAAGAGGTGCTTGAAGTGCTGCACGTAGGGCTGGCAGCGCTCGCTCTTCGGGAAGCCCGTGCTGTTGTGCAGCCGCAGATTGCGCTGCTCGAAGAACTTGTAGACCGAGTAGAAGAGTATCGGGTCGTTGGCGCTCTTGGCGACCTCGAGGAATTTGCGCGAGCAGGCCTGATCGACCATGCCGACGCCGCGTATGTAGCGCAGCGCCGGCAGTATCTGGCCCTTGGACAGCAGCACCTCGACAATCTCCTCGTGGGCGTTGCCCAGACGCTTGAGCATGTCCAGGGCCAGTTGGTGGGCCGCCGGGTAATGGTTCTCCAGGGACAGCAGCAGGCACGCCAGCGGTTTCGAGTCGGACACGACGTGGTACTGCAGCAACTGGTGCAGCTGATAGTAGGCCTGCTTGTGCACGAGGGTGGTGATGATCAGCTCGTGCAAATAATGCTGCACCGGTATTCCGTGCTCGGAAAGGGATCTGAAAGCGCCGATTTATTGTAAAATTATAAGCTAAACATTGTTATTTTTTTATGCAAGAGTATCAGGTACCTTATGTATTCCAAAAGAATCCAAATCAACATTTTGGAATCAATGTTGCTTTCAGAAAGATTTGATAAAATGTGACTGTAAATGTCGCTTTGATCAAGAAATATTTTATACTTTAGGTCATTGGACGCTGAGCTTTGAATTTTTGCATTACTTTGTAACGGGGTACCAATTACGCTCTGCATTTCATTTTCCAAGTGACTTCTGTAAACTGTATTTAACTTATTGAAAATAGCTGGCAAATCCATTAAAGTGGCAGGCATTTTCATTACTAAATCTTTCACAATTTGAATGAGGAGTTGCTTTGAATTTTTTCTTTGCATTAAAAATTCTATCAATTGCACTTTGTCAGTCATGAGCTTTACTAACGAGCTCAGTCTCAATTCCACATACCTGAATAAATGAAACAAATTATTAATGTTTTCTCATTTTTATGTTTGTAACAGACTCACCATAAACAACCTAATTTAGAATCAATAACTATATTTGGTTGAAATACTACCCATTTTGGGGAATCTAATGTAATATATTTGTTAAGAAGTCAATAATTTATCCAATAACAAAAATTATAATTTTGATTTTTAAAGGATACATAATTCACAAGGTTCATCAATATACTCAGATATGTTTGGCCCAGGAACTCTTAGACTATAAGGCTTTATTGGTTTAGGTGGTGCTATAGCGGTGTGATGAATCACGGTTCCATCACTAACTCCAGGTAACATTATATCAAAAATTATTGATGTCTGCAATTATAAATAAATACAATGTAGAATGATTAATTTCAACCTTATTTTTGAACAATTTGTTTTTTCATACCCTAGAGGCTTGATGATGCACAATAATTATATTATCCACCACATTAATGGCAAATCTACCACTCATGTCGAGTTTAAGAATATGACTCTTTCTTATAACTACCATTCTGTAAGTTTTAAATAAAAACATCCAATTACTTACTTGTAAAATGACTTTCAATAACATATGCAAACTACTCACTTATGAATAGTATATACATGAACAAAAGCTCCACTTGATAAGAAATTATCCCCTGATTGATGACGAATAACAATAATGCTAGGTATTCCATACAAAATCCCAAGAGCAACATCTCTCTCAGAAACTGCAAGCTTTCCTGGTTTGGAAGCTATTGCTTCCACTAAAAAAATTTATTTGTTATTTTAGTTATGGCGAATGAAGAAAAGTTTTAAATAAACAGACTATTTACTCACTTTCAAACTTTGGAATTTTGTGTAAATTTCCCACTGTAATATATAATGCTTGCATAAGGACTCCTTGCTGGCCTGAAGAAAGTAGAACTACATGACTTTGAGGACAAAATATGAACCAATTTACAGGTATGCTGAGAGATTTTAATGTTTTTACTATTCTTTTTTCTGGAATGACCTGTTCAAGAATAAAAAAAAGTTATTATGTATCCCAACAATAATATTTCATGATATGACACAAAAATTTGAGAATTACTTGAAACAACTCAACACCGTGGTCAGTAACAAATAAAATTTCATTTCCATGAGTCCACACAAATCCAAGAATAGATGCATTTTTACTTTTACATGATTGAGAATATTCTGGACCCGTTAAAGAGGAATTTGAGTCATAGTTAATGAATTCAACCGAAGTAACAGTACGCTGAATTGCCAAAATATTCATGTCTGGTGAGAATTTTATAGAAATAACAGGCCCCTTATCATCCATTCTAAAATTTATATTGTGCTCTCGACTTTTGACCAAAACTCCTGTGACTCCTCCAGATCGAATTGCAAAAACCTTAATGAGTAAAGTGGAAAAAAATATTATTGTTTTGTAAAGCCTCAATTTCAAGCAATAAACAAACCTGTTGCTTTGAATCGTCAAAAAATACATCTGTGACATCATCTGCAGGTTCAAATTTAACTGGCTCTGGAGAAAGCTCTAAGTAATGGTCATCCACACCACCCTCTACATCGATAACTTCACTTGCTGTTGACATTTCGTTTCTTTTTAGAACTGAGTCATAACTTTGTGAAAGAAAATGCTTTGAAGAGTTCACACTGGAGAAAAAAGTGAAGCGATTAATGCATAATTGATAATTCAGTAATGACGCCTCAACTCAAAAAAATTAAAATGCGTTTTAAAGATAATCTAGATGTAATCAAAAATAAAAGATTCATTACTCGTGATTTTTTATTCCACTAAAACAATAACTTTATTCTCGTACCTTTGAAATAAAATATTCATAAGCTTCAAAATCTAGTGTTTGTGTTTTTGTTTTCCTTCCTCACAATTTTGACATTTACTCCACACAAACTTTCCAATTTTTGAAGTCACAAGAAGGCGTGCGTGGGTCGAGAGGATGGGAATAACAAACAGATGTCAAAGATAGGCTGCGTAATAGCAGACGACACGGCGATCAGCAGCGCGGCGCACGGACTATACTGCGCGCAGTCGGGGAAAATTCAAGATACCTATCTTTTCACCTTTCGGCAGTCTAGCTTTTGCCCGATTCGCCGCTTTTCGCCGGGCGACGCCCGATGACGCCCGCTCTCAAATAGGTAAAATCGATTTCCGTCAAAACAAAGGCGAACCTCGCCCCAAGGATCTCTCTCTCACTCTCTCGCTCTCTCGGAAGGTATAAATAATCGAAAAGATGTTTGCGTACTGAGGGGCGCGCAAGTCAAAGACTGCGACATACGGTGTTCAAGAACTTGCATCGATTTTGTTTATCGAGTTTGACAAAACAACAAAGTAGCTGGAATTTCAGCTTCGATCGCACGACAATCGACGCTCGCTCGAGAGATCCGATTACGCGCATTTTGCAGATAGCGCATATCGATCGAGAGCTTATATCTTCGGAGTTCGCGCGCCTATATCTCGCGCGCTCTTGAACGTTCGAGGATGCAAGAACGAGAGGAGTATGGGTAATAAATTGCCCTCGCCATACGTCAAGCAGCAGCAGCAGCAGCAGCAGTAGAAAAACACGGGAGTGGGATAGATATCTCGCAAAAACATTATATACTTTATATAAAGCAGTAAGACGAAATTAACACCGCTTCACGACGGCGCCGGTAATAATAAAACGTGGTAAGCAGAGTCTCTCGTGGAGCAAGCGAGATTCTCCAAGCTGTAACATTTTTACGACGGCACCGAGCCGAGACTGGTGCAGCACAATGGCACTGAGCCCGACGGATCCGAACTCGTTCTCGAGACCAGGTATTTTTTTTGGCGAGCGATTTTTTTTTTTTTCTCGCGATTGATTGATCTTCGTCACTCCTCTGTGCGGCTTGTCACTGCCTCGATGTTTTTTGTAATAAATTGCAGATCTGTGCATCGTCAGACATACCCATCTGGACATAAACGTCAACTTCCAACGACAAATTTTGGAGGCCAGCGCGACTCTCGAAATTGAAAAAATTGGAGAGACCGAATTTCTGGTTGGTTTTTAATCGTTAAACGTGTTGAATAATTAATTCAAAGGTTTACTCTGAACTTGAGTGATGATTATTTTTCTAGATACTCGATGTCAGAGGCCTTGTTATTTTGTCAGTGGTGGATGTAAGCGATGACAGCAGACTCGATTATTGTGTAGAAAAAGGAGTCGATTATGGTTCAAGACTTAGCATAAAACTACCTGAAAAATCAACTGATTCTAATCAGGAGCTCACTCGTCGTACATTGTTTCTGTAATATTTTGTTACACTAAGATCAATATTTCAAATATCTCAATGAAAATCCGTATCTTACAATTTTTTCTTTTAGTTACAAAATAAAAATTCAATACCGAACATCACAAGACTCTACGGCACTGCAATGGATGTCACCAGAACAAACTGCGGGTGGAAAACATCCTTATTTGTTTTCTCAGTGTCAAGTAATACTCATTAATTCTATATTCTTTATTTTTATAAGAATGCGGTATATAATTTTTATTATTATGACAGGCTATCCATGCTCGATCTATGCTACCTTGTCAAGATACTCCATATGTCAAGTCTACCTATTCAGCTGAGGTATTAAAATTATACTAAATTCAAAATGACTATGCTGACAAATTGAAAATTTTCAGGTAAGAGCTCCTGCTGAATTGAATGTTTTAATGTCAGCTATCAAAGAAGATATTTTACCTTTGCACGATGAGCAATCAACAAAAGTTCATGTTTTCAATCAACCTCTGCCTGTTCCATCATATTTAATAGCATTAGCTGTAGGTGCTTTAGTATCTAAAAAAATTGGACCACGTACCAAAGTATGGACAGAACAAGAATTACTAGACAAAGCAGCCTATGAATTTGAAGAAACTGAAAAAATGCTTCAAACTGCTGAAGAAATATGTGGAAAATATGTTTGGGGTAGGTCCTATACATCAAAAAATTAAATCTAATCCCTTTAATAGTTGTTAATTAATCATATGCATTACCATGTTTTAGGTATTTATGATTTGCTTATTTTGCCACCTAGTTTTCCGTACGGAGGAATGGAAAACCCATGTCTGACATTTGTTACTCCGTGTTTATTGGCTGGAGATAGGTCTTTAGCTAATGTTGTTGCTCATGAAATTGCTCATAGCTGGACTGGAAACTTGGTAACAAATGAAAATTTTGAACATTTTTGGTTGAATGAAGGTTTTACAGTTTTTCTTGAAAGGAAAATTATTGGTCGAATGTATGGTGAAAAAGTTCGACATTTTGCTGCATTAATGGGACTTCAACAATTGAAAGATGAAGTAATATTCTAATCTTGAAAGTTATTATTTTTGACCCACGTTATAATAATATATCTCAAATTCTCTTTAGATTCTTACTATGGGAGAAAGTAATCCACTTACAAATCTTATTCCAAGTTTAGTTGGAATTGATCCAGATGATGCATTTTCTTCCATTCCATATGAAAAGGGGCACACTTTTCTCTTTTACTTAGAAGAGTTACTTGGAGGGCCTGAAGAATTTGAACCATTTCTGAAGAAGTATATTGAGAAATATCGATACAAAAGTTTGAACACAAATACATGGAAAGAATTCTTATATAAATATTTTTCAAGTAAAACCGAGGTAAAATAACTAAATGAAATAACGATTTTACATGATCATTTAAATTAAATTTTGATTTTAATGTTTTAAGATCCTTGATAAAGTTAACTGGGATGCTTGGTTTAATAAACCTGGTACACCACCAGTGATACCAAACTATGACACAACTCTAGCCAATGAATACAGGGCCTTAGCTGATAAATGGATTGCTAACAATGCAGATTCAATTTTCAATCATGATGACATTAAAGATTGGACATCAAACTTGAAAGAGGCTTTCTTATCGGAATTAGTTTTGAGTAATAAATCTCTTACAATTGATCAAATGAAATTAATGGATGAACTCTATGGTTTTGGGTCAACTCAAAATTCGGAAATACGGTAAAATAATAATAGTTTTGTTTTGAAAAAAAATTATTAAACAATAAAATTAAACTTTTAATTTAAAAAACATGATTTTAGATTCAATTGGCTGAGATTATGTTTAAAATCCAAGTGGGAAGAAAAAGTTGATGAAACATTGGAATTTGCAACATCACAGGGCAGATTGAAATTTGTTCGTCCTTTATTTAGAGATGTGTATGCCTGGGAAGAAATGCGTCAACGTGCTATTGACGTCTTCATGGCGAATAAGGATAAAATGATGTTTGTAACCAGAGAAATGGTAGCAAAAGATTTACACCTTAGTGAGGAAAAAGAGAAATTGTAAAAGATGCAAAAATTTGCTGAATGAATTTCATAGATCTTCCAGTATAAGTTTATGGCAGTTTTACATAGTTTTAAAAGAATATGTGTTACACAAACCTTTACACGTTTTGTAATATTATACTTAGTTTAGAAAATAGGAAAAACATGAAATAAAAAGTAGTATAAAAACAACCAAGTCTTATAAACAATTTTTTATGTTAACACATAAGTTTCTGGTAATTTAACAATTTGTGGGAAATTTTCCAACTCTTCTGGAGATATTTGATCCAACCTCTGAGGTACAGGTCTTAACTGCTTAATTTGACTGCTTAGATTTTGTTGTATTTCGAGTGGAATCTTATCATCTAAAAATACATGAAGACGCGCATAAGCTTGATGTCTGGTGAGATTATTTCCTAAAGCTCTATAAACAGCTTTTTTCATAATCTGAAAAAAGATTGTCAAGTTAGTCAATAGTCTCCATATATATTTTTTAGTTACAAACCATTGTTGGGTCCTTTTTATGCAGTTCCCAAGCCTTAGTCCAAGAAGCTCCACCATGATACGTATCATGATGAAAGTAAACTCGCATTTGCCATTCATCGCCTCTCAGTGCAATTTCACTGCTATTTATAACGACCACATGATCCCCACAGCGATCTAAATTCATGTTGATTATTATTAATAAAAAAAACTTCAATAGAAGAAACATAATAGTAAAATCTTACTCATTGGATGAGAAATAGGTTTATGTCTGCCTAAAAGATACTTGGCAATTATTTGTGAACTTTGGTAAGGATCTTGCCATGTAGCATCAAAAACGTGCCACATTCTTGCAAATGTGCCCCATTGCTACAATAAAAAAAGTATGCGAAATTAATTTGGCATTTAAAGACGTCATGTTCGAACTTAAAATAGTAAAAAGTCACTTACTTGACTTCTTCGTACAATTGACATGATCAATTATTTTGAATGGCTTACTAGAGAATTGATATTTTTAAAATTATCTGCAAGTACACTGTAATCACTCAGACATGACAAAAACACGTACTAAATATAATTTAAATAATAGACTTGATTGATAATGAAAATTTGCAGGTTAACAATTGCGATGAATGAAATACACCAAACGCGGTGTATTTACATAATGTCTGCTAGAGCCACACCGGGATGAAGCACACTCGTCGATATTAAAAAATGTGCTCTTATCGACTTTTTCGCTTAGCGGTGCCGTTTCGTTTTGTAGAAAAATCAAGACTAAATAATAATAAAAAGGATAAAATAATGATGTGTAGACCTTGTTTGAATATTTTTTCAGTAAAATTAAATATTGAAGAATTTTATTTTTTTATAAAAAAATATAAAAACTTTTTTTTAACATTTCTTCCAACTAACAGAAAAAATATAAATAAAAATTAATAGAACAACTTTTTTTTTAAAAACGTGTAAAATAGCGGTAAAAAGTTGTCTTTATCTACAAATTATACACATTTTATGATTCAATTGTGTAAATTGGATGAAAAATACTCATGTCATCTTTTTCTTTGAACCATTGTTCAACAAGATCTTTCACATGGTGCTCATCCACCTGATTGAAATAAAAATATTTTGTTTATAATAATATATTGTAATAAGAAACGAATTGGTTTAAATTAAAAATCTTACTTTGCTTGCATCGAGTTTTAAAATTTGAAGCTGCTCATGCAGTTCAGCAATATTAAAAACAAATAAATTGGATGTCATATTTAACACCCATAAGTCTGAATTCAGTGATCCCACTATTTGCCTATTTATTTTATTAACAGCTCTGTAAATAAAAATATTTTTTAATTTAATTAAATGAAAATTTGTGAATAGTTTAATCAAGAAAGCAGTACCTTCTGTTTTCGAATTTTTCTGTAACAGATTCCAAATCAATGTCCCAATTTACAAAAGTTCTCATCAATAAACTTTCATTTTTCATATTGTTTTTATTCGATTTCATATTTTCCAACATGTTAACGAGTTTTTTGCGATTGTTTATTTTTTCGGTTTGAGAAAGTTTTTCTTTTTTTGTTCCTTCTAATTGTGATATATTTAGACTTATTTCTTCATTATTTTTGTTAGCCAGATCACGATAATAGTCTCGCTCTTCAGACGAAAGACTTTTCCATTGTTTATTCAATTCAAGTGCAATCTCAGCTGGACTTAAGTCAGGCGATTGTTCTAAAACTAAAATAAATAACTTTAGAGAAGTTTTCATGCCAAAAAATAGTAAAAAAGTTACATACTGTTTTTTCTTTCATGAGAACAGTACATAGAAAATGCGGAATGACCTAATGTTTTCAGGCATGCATTATCTCCAGCAAATTGAATTTTACTTTGATTCGGATCTTCCTGCAAAATAATAAAATATGAATAAAAAATGTAAAATTCTAAAGAGAAATTAATGTTTTGAGACTAAATTAATTTTACGTGAGCTTTTTGTGACATTTTTCTTTGTTTAGAACTTCCAGGCAAACGAGATCTTTCAGAAGTTTTTTTTGTCATGTTTTTATTTTTCAGATTCCAATCAAATTTGTCCACATTAACATGGGGACCGTCATTTGCTGAAATTTCTTGACTGTCTTCTATTACGGTTTTTGATGGGCCATAATCAAATGCTTCAGATTCTTGTAATAGAGAGTTAGATTTATCTATTTTATTATTTTGGTCTCCATCTTTTAATCCTATAGCAACACCACCCTGACAATCATAACGTTGTTATTAATTAACTAATATAAAAAATGAATTTTATAATTAATTACTTGTGAAATACCTCTAATCCAACAATATGACCCTTACTCCAACTTTCATGACTGTTAGGTAGATTAGAAATTTTTTGACTTATTTCATGAGTAGGTAGTGATTCAGTTTTATCAGTTTCTTTATTTATAGTTGCTTTATTGATAATTTCTTCCCAATCAAAATCTTCACCTAGATCTACAACTGGTAATTGTGATAAAGTTTCTGGTTTATCTTCAATTATTTTAGTCTGTGGAGCAAAATCAAATAGTTCAGATTCATTCTCATTTTCTGGTACACTGCTGATTCCTGATATCTTTTTTTTCTTATTGAAATTTTTCGTAACCCTAATTCCATCGTTTGAATCTGAATCGCTCAGCGTAGGTTCAACAATATCTTTCAAAAATTCATCATCAGATTTTCTTTTTCTTTTATCTATGTAATTGTAATGAAAAAATTACTTATAAGTCTACTTAAAGACAATAAATAAATCTATATCTGTATTTTATCTTACCTGAAATTTGTTTTGAATCTTGTTCAGTTGATGGAGCGGAGTGAATTTTTTCAATAGAACCATTGGTTTTTCGTCTTTTGCAAGCTTGGAATTCTTTCTCTTTAACTAAATATGTTTCTTCGCTATCAACTTCTTCATTTTCCATTTTTTCTGAGTCATCTTTTTGTGTTGGTTCTAAAGAATCTTGAAGCCCATAATAATCACAAAGAAATTGATTGATTTCTTTTAATATTTCAGCCTAAATTTTGAGTGAAATTAACATTAATTTGTTCATCAATTAAGACAATTAACGTATTTATTTAAATTTACCTCATTATGAAGAAATACTTTATCTTTATTTGGCTCCAAGTTGACATCGAGTGCAGAAGATTTAACTGTTACAAGTAAGCAAAATACTAATTTGTGAGAACCTGAAGTTTGACAGAAATATTCAGCAAGTTTTTGTTTCACTCTCTAAAAAAAGTACAACATTATTTGTTATAATTATTAATGAGTGTGGTTTTAATTTTAATTTTAATCAATTTATTATACACATAAAATTGAATGCCTTAAAAGCCATAATTACCTTTTCTATTTCTTTGGATTTGATTGGTCTATCATTGACACATATGAGCTGCATGCCAGGCTGAGATATTAATGCAACATCTTTATTTTCTTTTTTAGGAATAACAATAAGCAACTCTGTCTAAAAAATAATAAATGTTATAATACAATATAACTTTAAAACTTATTTTATAAATTTTAGTTGCTCAAAATACCTCTGAGAAACATTTCTTTACATGAGTCATTTTTGAAAATACTTGAATGCCCATGACACATTTAATAGAGTCTATGTCTGATTTACAAATAGCTTTAGTAAAAATAACATTACTATTAACTCGAAAAACAAATCTCACAGAAGGTTTACAAATGGCATATGCTTTCAAGAGTGTTTCTATAGCTTTTATTTCCTGGTTAAGTCTTTTTTTAGTTAATAAATTTCTTCTCACAGGCATGTTCTTGAATATATTTTTCATTCTCACAGTAGTACCTAATTACAAATTTATTTATTCATTATTAAAAGTCGAAAATAATTTTTATAATTCATTACCTGTAGTTCCATGAGATACATCAGACTTTACAACATTTCCTTCATAATCTAAAGTATGACATATAACAGTTTCATCCTCTGCTGTTTTGGTGGAAATGGTCACTTCAGCTACCTGACAAATAGCAGTCAAACCTTCACCTCTAAATCCATAAGTTGCAAGCAAATCTAAGATTTATGATTAATGTAGTCATCATTAGGATTTTTATTAGATAATTAAAAATTAAAAATAAGTTTTAAATTACTCTTACCCAAGTCGTTTAAATCAGTAATTTTAGATGTATAGGATGGCAAAGCCATACATAGAGCCTCATCTCTAGGTACACCCACTCCATTATCTTTAACTTCTATCAGTGATAAACCACTGTCCACCTTGAAGAAATCATAGTGTCTAATATGAAATTGTAAATAGTCGAGTATTCGTTGATCATTTTTTTTATAAATATTCAAAATTTTTACTCACAAGGTTAACTTCTATATTTTGAGCGAGAGCATCTAAAGAATTTTCTACGAGTTCTTTAACAGCACTGTAAATCGATGATATTACTTGAGTGCAGTTGATTAAATTTATTGTATCTCGATTTAGGCGTTTAATGGACATTTTTTCAGTAAAAATTCATTCAAAACAAGGGATAAAATTAAAACCGCACTCATTATTGCGCGCCATTCAAGGATCAGCTGTTTTCTATTTGAATTTTGAATCGTTTGCTGGCTTTTGTATTGGGTTTTAAAATATTTGCGCGTCGTCATATTACCTATAGCTGAGCTATATTGTGAATACTTTAGAATTGTTAATAAGAGTATTTGTTGGTATTGTGAAAAAATAATTAATAAAATTAAATATTATCAATTGCAATAAAGCAATACCCATTGAATGAACTTTTTAAGTATTATTCGGTTTTTAATAGAATTAATATTGTAATAGTTCATCAATTAACTTAACTCAGAGAGAAAAGTACAGCGCCGTTATGGACTTTTATGGAGAAAAGTACAGCGTTTTGGATTTTTTAATATTCAAATGATCAATTTTCGAAAAGAAAATTTTTTTTGATCCTCTTTATTTGATAGAAATGCGACAATATCGACCGTCCCTACGAAGACAATCACTCATGCGAATGCGGTCAAAAAAATCTCTCTTAGAAATCGGCGGCGAAAAAAACCTCTCTTTCAAAGAAGCGATCAAGAAAATCACTCTAAAAAATCTGCGATCAAGAAAATCTCTTCAAAAAAATAAAAAAAAAACAAAAAAAATCAAAAACATTCAAAAAAAAAACAAAAACAAAAAAAAAGAAATTTTTGAAGAGATTTTCTTGACCTCATCTTCGAAAGAGAGTTTTTTTCCCTGCAAGTTTTCAGGAGAGATTTTTTTGATCGCGCTTCACTAGAACGGTGATACTCTTCGTAAGGACGGTCGATATATTCTTTTTGTGCTACCCCAACCTAAAGTAACATTTGTCGGTATGAATAAAACGGCGATAAAGGCGGTGCAGTAACATTTTACTCTTGTTCAGCAAAGCTAAAATGTTACTTTAGGCTGGGGGATTCACAAAAAATTGTATTTGCACCTATACAGAGAAAAAAGAAAGTCTCAGTCTCAGAGCATGTGATTATTAGCCGAGCCGAAGCCGAGCCTTTCCAGTTTTTCACTCCCTAGGTGTAAAATATACAATTATTCACCTTCCCACCCCTAATAGAGGGGCTATGTATATGATAACATTACTTGAATGATTTATTATTGTTAGATTCAGTTGACGAATAGATGAAAAAAAAATAAAAAACAGCATATTTTTTAATAACAATTTTAATGATTATTTATAAAAATACAAGATTAGAATAATGGATGATTCTTACAAAAAGTTTTTTATAACAATTTTCACATTATAACCATACATTACATCAATTTAAAATTTTACTAAGTTGAGGTTGATGAATGTTTATTCTTATTTTACTAGAAAACTTATAAATATTTAAAATTTTTAATTAATGTGTTTAAATTAATGTAGTATTACATGCTGATGTTGACGTTTACTAACTTGCTTAGACTTGTTGATCTTTATTACCTTATTTCTGTAATAATTTCTATAATAAGGCTCCATCATAGCCCAATATTTGTCCCAAAGTCTAGTTACCTGAGTGGCCCTCCATAACTTTTCTTTGCATAATATCCTTTCCAACTTACTTTTTCTGGATTCAATATTTTTTGTTTGTTTCTTTGGAACCGTCAGATCCAACGGTTCTGCCTGTTCGAGTTCTGAGCACCGTAATACCGGATTCGCTGCAAAATCGTGTACTTGCACTTTAGCTACCAATCCCAATCCTTTTAAAAAACTGATTTTATTAGATTCCATGTTTGCTAGAGGTAATTATCGAACTAATTCACTGATCAACTGCTCGAGGCTGACTGAACGGTGTTTTATATTTTCAAAGAGTTTTTCTCCGTAGCTCAGTGTCGAGTCGCGATTCGTCACACGTGGAGTGTGCTCAAGCGAACTAAATTTCTCCGAATTATACAGATTAACTAAAATTACTCAGGAGGTCAAGTTTACACTACAGTAAACAAAAACCAAAGTAAATTGATTTTTTCAATAAGTGTAACAAACATTTACTACAATTAATAGTTAATACTGCTAATTCTTACTCAGGAACAGGTTAAGTGTGCTTGAGCGTAAGAGACACGTTGTCGACTATGGTTTGTGCTTTACTGAGCTAAGTACGTGGCGCGGTACGACTGGTCCTTACCTGTAGCCGCTGTCTGCTGTGAACCGGATGCGTGTCGCGCCACATCTGGCCAAAATGTGAACTAGTATTTAAAAAAGTTATTTCTGTCCAAATTGTATTCAAGTTAGGGGATTTAGAATTAATGATAAAACGCACATTTTAATTTTGTTTAAAAATTGCTATATTACTAATTTCATCCATATTTTAATCAATATAATTTGTATTTTAATCCACATATCTTAATCAATATTATTTGAAACAATAACGATTTGTACAAGTTGAGCACTTATTTTAACTAAAATCATAGGGGTATTTTAAAAAGATGATACTAGTTTTATTAATAAAATTATCAAGGCCATACAACATTCATTTACTTTGAACTTTTGCCCAATTTTGGGCTATAGACAAAATTTCAAGTTGTGGTTTCTTAGCTTCGTCATCTGGGAAAACGAACTTCATAATTTCTTCCCAGCCTTCATCAGTTCTGTCATCTAAAACTAAATGCCTTTTCTGCTTGACTCTTCTCGGCATTTTCGATGCAACATCAGCTTGGCTTTTCTTGTCACCATATGTTTTTTCAAAATCAAGCCAAGATTCTAAAAGTAAAACCCTGCTTTCTTTTTCTTTGATCAATTTTAAAGCATCATTGCCTCTCTCATAAACTCTTCTTGCTAATTTGACATTATTCAACTCTTCTTCATTTGTGGTAGTGTTTGATCTTTCAAAGTTGGCATATGCTATCCATACCTTAACGTCATAAGTTTTTTCTAAAAGCCTTTCGTACAGCTGTCTGGCTTTTTGTGTATTTTCATGCATGATTTCAAAATCTATATAAGTCTTCCAAAGGACTTCAGGCACGTTCATTCTAGGTTGACTAATGCTATATCATAAATGGCTTTTGCCCTGTCTGTATCACCCAAGGAAGCCTCAAGCTCGGCAAACTTAAGCCATGTACTGCAATTTTCTGTTTTAAACTCTGTGAACTTTTGGTACAGTAACCTGCACCTATCAAATTCTCTTAACTGAATTTCTAATTCAATGTATCCACGATACAATTTATTTTTGGGACAAGTTCCCAATGCAAAACCCAATGTCTTTCTAGCTTCAATTACATTTTTTTGGCGGATTTGGAATTTAGCATATCCCAGCCAAATTTTGGGAAATGTGAATTTCTTATGGGGTATTACACTCAAACATGCTTTGTAAACTTGATGAGTCCTTTCTAAATCGTTAGCTTCTAGTTCTTCATATAAGGCATAATTTATCCAGAGATAAATGTACCTTTTCCAAAACTCTTTCTTTTCAATAGGAGGTATATTTGCAACAGCTCTTTCATAAGTTTCTCGAATGGTTTTAATGTCACCTTCAGATTCTACTAATTGTAAATAATTGAACCAAGCATCATAATTGAAAGGGTTTTCTTTTACTTCATTCTCAAACTGAGCTTTTTTTTTATTAACTGTGACATCTTCAATACCAGACCTATCACCATATTTCTTTTCATGAATTAGGTATGCTTTGTAGATATCTTTGGTTATTTCTTTTGGTACACGAGCTAATACATATTTGTAAATAGCTTTGGCTCGATCATGTTCTTCCTGTCTTTCTTCAAACTGAGCAAAAGCTAGAATTAATTTATCTTCTAGCAATTTGTCACCAAAATATTCTGTGGCTGTTTCATAAACTTGTCGTGCTTTATCAATGAAATTGTGGTTTTCCTCAAAATTGGCCCATTTAATCCAATGTTTTACTTCAGGATGAACCATAATCAAGCGTCTATGTATCTCTCTGGCTCTGTCAAGCTCTTTGTACTTCAGCTCAAAATTTATATATGTTTGCCATGCTTGCTCCTATGGTTCCCATTTCATCCATCTTTCAAAAACTTGTCGAGCACCTGCTATATTTTCGAGCTTTTCTTCCATTGCAGCGTACTTGTACTAGAAATTTTTGTTACGAGGAAGAATAGTTACAACTCTATCCAATAAATTTCTGGCACGATTCACCTGTCTATTTCTCATTTCCATTTCTATGTATTTAATCCATAAAACTGGATTTAGATACTGACAATCTACATCCAGCGCTCGTTCATATATGGATCTTGCTCTAACAATTTCCATTTGTTTTTCTTCCCACCTAGCATATTTTAACCAAATGGCAATAGAAAGTCTGTCTTTCTAATCAAGTCCTCGAAAGCTTTACGCTTTCTGTGTTGATACTCAGATAATTCGCAAGAGTCAGTAATTCTTTGCTTTGCTACAGATGGTAAAATTTCCAAGTCACGTTCCTTAGCTTCTTTCAAAATTTGCTCAGCAGTTACTTGAATTTCTGCTGGAGCTTTGTTTTTCGTCATGATAATTTTGGGCATTTTTTTAAATTGCTCAATTTTTTTGAATTGCAACGTCACTATGTTTTGAACTAGAGAAGTAGAATTTCAATTGATTTTTTTAATCAGTACTATTTTGTTTAACACACAATCACTACACAAAATCACTGTACGAATCTCTGAAGCTAATTAGTCAACAGGTTAACTAAAATTACTCAGGAGGTCAAGTTTACACCAAAATGAACAAAAACTAAAGAAAGTAAAATCAAGAAGGTTAAGTCGACTGTCAGCACTCGGGCGCCGATGGATGGCATACAGCGTCGTCTGCCACGCGCCGACGACGGCACCGTGTATAATTTCAGTCGCTATGGTGTCGCTGTTGTCATTCTCATGAATTACGCGGCAATTCAATTTGATGCCAAGACGTGTAAAAACATGTTCCTATCGCTCACAACACTTCACAATAATTTAAAAAAATGTATCAATTTATTCTTTCGTTCAACAACAAATAAGTATCAGTAGCTATTAATTCAATATAAATTCTTCGAAGTATTTTTTTGTATTTCATAGTCTGTAAAATGTCCTTGATTAATTATTGCCTCCTAATGGGCAATTATAATTATTTTCAATTATTTGATTTTCCTCTTTCCACTGTGTCATGAGCGTAGAAAAATGTTTCAACACGTCTCGGCAATGTAACTTATAGGTTGGTAGCAGCAAGTTAGTCGATGAAGAATTGGCACCTCCGTGTGGATTGATAGACGACGCTGCCACCACCCGCCAAAACACGATCGAACTCGAAGAGTTACGCATGTTTATTTGTGCTCACTAGTCTCAAGACAGTATTTAACGAATCCTGAGCGTTAATCTGAACTTTAATTTCTACCGGCCAGTTTCAGGTCCTTCTAAAAAAGAGATGTACAATATAATTATTGATTGATAGTTGAGCCGTATAAAAAAGCAGTTGATAACATCAACAGTGTCTGAAACATTCTAGTATTGAAGTTAAATGTTAGTGAAGCATCTGAGTAAAATGTCGGTAAAAAAAGGTTTTTCTATCTCAACTGCAGTCCAATTAGGTGATTTAGAATTATTGATATCATTGCTACAAAATGGCAGCGATCCGAATGCAGTCGATGCCGAAGGCATGGCACCGCTGAATCTCATCTGCAATCAACTTGAATTGACTGATGTTCATTTGACGATGATGCAACAACTCATCAAATTCAAAGCCGATGTTAACATCAACAAAAATCCCAAACAACACAGTCCAATGATACATCTCTTCGTGGATGAAAAAAAAGAAAAATTTCGTTACGAAGCGTTGAAGTTACTCATAGAAAATAAGGCCGATATTATGCAAACCAATCACAGGGGTGACCAAGTATTGCATACGATTCTGCGCCAAAACCAGTATACAATTACCATCGAATTAATTGAATTACTGATAAAACACAGTGTAGACGTGAATATCCAAAATCGCGAAGGAGATTGTCCTCTCTTTCTGGCTACCAATTTTCCAAGAACTGAAGTAGCCGAATTTTTATTAAAAAATGGCTCTAATCCCAATTCTCTTCATAAGAATTATGGAACGTTGTTACGACGCATCTGTAATAAAGGTTGCTTAAAGTATATGGATTTTAAAATGATTCAACTTCTTATTCAGTACGATGTAGATGTAAACTCAACTGCTCCAATATTGGCTCTATATACATGCAAATTTTTTCACGATGATGCGGACTTATTATTGCGTGAGGATATATTGAAATTACTTCTCGAAAACGATGCCGACCCTTCAGTTGTTTGCGAAACTCATGGACCAATACCAATTATGATTCTTTATAAGATGCATATTAATTTCAGTATAGAAATTGTCAAATTGCTATTGGAATATGGAATAGATATAAACATAAAAGATGCATCTGGTAATACTCCACTGCATGCAGCTGTTAAGCAAGGTAATAGAGAAATGTCAACATTTTTTTTACAACATGGAGCAGATCCAAATATTGTTAATAAATGTGGCAATACACCACTGAATAGTATTTGTGTTCAATATCACTTTATAAATGAGTACTTGCAAGTAGTTCAATGCCTCCTCTGCTATAAAGCTGACGTAAATATTCAAAATAATAGAGGAAATACTGCATTAGTTAGTCTATTTCATAAAAGAATAGAATATAACTTGTGCTACAAAATATTAAAGTTACTTTTGGAAAATAATGCTGATGTTACAACTCGAAATAAAGAGGGCAAGACTGTATTACATGTGATCATTCAAAATGCAGATATTGAAAACCGTTATGGGTATGATTTCAATGAAGAAATCTGCCGGTGCATGGAGTTGATAATTCAACATGGTTTAGACATTAATGTTCAAGATAGGAATGGGCTTTCTCCACTTAACGAGGCTGTCTCATATTGCAATTTAGATTTCGTCAGATTTCTTTTAACACATGGGTCCCAAGTAGCTAATGTTTGGTTCGAAGGTGGCTATTTTCAATGTAAAAATGATATTTTACCGGACCTTACCAAGACGCAAAATATTTTGGATATTATTGATATTTTAGAAAATAAAGGCTTTCAAATGAGAAATGATCAGGTTTTATCAGTATTGAAATTTTTGACAGGATACTATGTGCCGATACACTGTCTTAAACTAGAAGATGTTTTGGAATCAGGTGAGACCTTGAATCTTTCTATAATCTAAAATTATTATAAAAATTTACCTTTAAGCGACTTTGAGAAATAATGAATAATTTTATAATAAATTTAAATTGCACATCACAATCTATTTATGCTTAATTCAAACTCAGATTTGAATTGCCCTTTCAATTTGTTTTGTAGTACTGTTGAATGTGTATACATGGTGCTAATTACCAAGAATCATTAATGCTATTCTTTGATTCTGTTTTGCATAATACAGACAATTTACAAAAATAGTTATCAATTTTAATGGTGATATTTGCAAAAAATTGTTTCCTAATTTATTATGATAAAATTAATCAACTTTTTACAAGTAATGAAAATGTGAAATTCATCAGTATTATAATGTGACATATAATATAAAATAGAAATCTATTGATAGAAATCATCTATTAAGTAAATAGAAATTTATTAAGCCTAAGCAAACATTTTCTATTTTTAGGATCTACTTTTGCTATAAACAACTACATTAAAAGTCGTCGATTGGGAAAGACAGAATTCAATATAATTTACAATTATCTGAACTTAGCTAAGTATGGAATGATTCATATGGATAAAAAAGCGTACAAAGATTTGCTAAGCAATTTGGAAAGTTTAGATTCCACCGATTATACTCTTAACAATATCGATATAAAGAAAAATATTGAAAAGTATATAGAGGAAGCCAAAAAAGTTATGATTGGTGAAAAGACTTCTCTTCTGGACATTTGTTCTTCGTGTCCAGATAAAACATACTCGCTATTGAAGAATTGTGACTATAAATCTGTGGTAAATTCTCAACACTTTAAAAAAACTTTTGGAGAAATCTCAAGTATTTTAAAGGGACATATTAATAAGAGTTTAGTTAGGAGATTTTCAAAAAAAATTTCTCTAGGCTCTTTAAAACATTTAAGTATGGGTGATTTATACCTTATCTCGGTTGTGAAAACATATAATGTTTGAACGACAACTATTCATGCTGCATTTATAAATCAGTTTAGAAATAAGTTTTATTGAAAATTTCAATATTTTTTATTTTCATGTGAAAATGTTAAAGTCTATAGTATTTGATTACTTGAATTAATGTAAGGTTCAAACTACAATTGAAAAAGACAAGTAAATATTCAACTGTACCAAGTAGGGGTGAAAGAAAATTATTTTTGTAAAAATGATTAGTTTACATTTTTCTTCTGATATTATTGTATGAAGTCGAAAGCGTTTCATGATCAAAGTACAAGAACTACACTGCATATGAATGTAATTCATGTGCATATAATTTGAATTTGCAAAAAAAAAAACTAACTCTTTTTTGTCTTATTGCTATTAACGAGGCAAAAGGTTTGAGCACCTCTGATGCAACTTATTTCTTCAATTGTCTCACTTGGCGATGAAATTGTATGTTATAATTGTCAAACGTATATATAATATGTTTAAGGGTTCATAACTTACCGTTAATGCCGTAATTGTTTTCGTTTTTAAAAATACTTTTTTGATATGTTTAAATGTATCATTTGTTTCAATATGACTATTTGCTACTTATCTTTGCAACTTAAAATTCTAATAAAATTATTTTAATTATGATGAGCTTATATATTCTTAGCATTTTATCAAAAATCTTAACGTAGATTTTTACGGATGACGTTCAAAAATTGATTAAGCATCTATCTGGAAAACATTCGTACAAATGTATTTTTTTGCAGTAACGTTTTTCCCAAAATTTGTAAACACTATTAAACATATTGTATCAGCTAGGTACTATTCAGTTGGATCGATCAAAAATGTTTAAGGAGATACCAAAGATGAAAACCGAAACCAATGTTTTAAACACACTTTTTAAAATTCTAAAATTTTCAATCAAAATTTTTCTGAAAGATACGTGAAACTTTAGGAAAAAAATTTAAGACATTCAGTTCGCAGTTTTTTAAAAAATATTTTCAGCGGAAGTATTTAAAAATGGGTTTTAAAATAATCTTTTTAGCCTGGCTTCGATGTTTACTTAAATCGAATTCTTTTCATTAATGTAAAATTGAATCGTATGATTTACTTATTGCTTTGACAAATAATATATTTTTTGAAATTAAACGGTACTGTATAATTGACAAAGATACGTGAAACTGTATCTCGCAGGGCTAGCAATTAGTATAGTAATGGCTATGATAATAAAAGGCATGACATGAAGGATACTATTTTATGGATAATATATAGGGACTCTTACAATTCGTATTTTCCATCGAGTCGAATACATGAAATATCCACTTACACAATATTGTACAGTAAATCGGCACATACATATATTAACAACAACAAACACTTCAAGTACTATCTCATCGCGATTGCTATTTCTCGACACGTAATTTAAAAAAAAAAATTCTGATAATTATTTGAACATAAATTTTAAAATTCTATTATCCATCGATGTTAATTAACTATGAAGATAACGTTTCATAAGCTATCCACCTTCGACTTACACAAATTCGAAATACTGAAAAATACACTTTCTATAAAGCAATATATAATTCAACAGTTTTTTTGCTACTTAATTATCTACTATCAACGTCCGTCAGTAATATATTTGATTATAATACAGCTGAACCGTGACAATCCGATGCACATGACAGTTTTACGGTGAAAAACTATTTCGAATTAATACTCATACACATACTCGATGTAGGCAGTATTTTACAAATATCAAAAACTTAAAACTTAGCGTAACACAATTAATTTTTTTTTTTTTTGTACAATGTTGTTTATAAAAAAGAGAGAGAGAGAGAGGAAGAAGAAAAAACGGGACCATTTTACGTTTTGAGCGGTTTGCACTGCTCGCAGGTCTCCATTTTTTCGTTGAATTCTTCTATCTGCAGCGTCATTTCGAAGAAATCGTACTCGTCATGTATGCTCCTCGTGGCGGTGCGCAAAATCTCCTGAGGACTCGTGTTCGGTTCTGAAAAGGACGAACGAGATTCGTGAATTAACTATTTCTTTTTTGCCTCTTAAATAATAATAACTCACTGATAGCCAGATGCGCCGAGAGGGCCGTTTTGTCGAGGGACAAGGCCCATATCCGCAGATTGTGAACCTTCACGACTCCGTCGATCTTCGTGAAGGTCTGCTCGACTTGCGAGTAATCGAACCCTTTGGGGGTTCCCTCCATCAGTACGTTCACCACGTCCTTGATTATGGCGAATGTCGTCAGAATGACGAGGGCGGAGAAGAAGAAGGTGCAGATCGGATCCACGATGCTCCAGCTCGGCTGTATACACGGAAGATCATTTTTAACGTGGACTATAAAATCAACGTGGGATATAATGTTGTCGTCGTACCTTGAAGTAGATGACGATGGCGGCGATGAAGACGCCGACGCTCTGTATGAAGTCGCCGAGTACGTGGATGAAGGCGGCGCGCACGTTGATGTTCTCCTCCTCCTTCTTCTTCCTCTGCTTGTTGGTCACTCCGGCGCTTGCGGTGCCGTTCTCGAGGGCGTGCATCGAGGAGCCGTTGCTGATCTTGTCCTTGCTGCCGTGATCGTGTCCGTGATTGTCGTGGCCGTGGCTGTGGCTGTGGCTGTGGTCGTGACCGTGGCTGTGGCCGTGGCCGTGCTGGTGCAGCGAGAAGCCCATGCTGCGCCGAACGAAGGGAAAAATTTTGTTATTTTATCAACTTTAGTGGACGACGAGGTCCAGAGCTTACACGCGCTTTTTGCGGTCTCCTGGTACCCAATACTGAAGCTCTCTGTGCTTAGTTTGATCTCATGGGCCGTAGGGCCCATCTTTCAAAGGATTTTACACATTATGAAAAAATCTTTGTTATTTTCTATATCGATATAAAAGTACTTAAGCGAAAAAATGCAACGATCAAAAGTTTTAAAATTTTTCAAAGAATCTGCTTGATTTTTTTCAGAATTTTTGGGACCATCTATTACTTAATTCAAGAGGCCCAAATTTGACGCGCTTTTTATAGATTTTAGGACTTCTCAAAGAGAGTGGTAGATGGTCCCAAAAATTCTGAAAAAATTAAAGCAAATTCTTTGAAAAATTTTAAAACTTTTTATCATTGAGATTTTAGAACTTTTTATCACTTTTTCGTTTAAGTACTTCTATATCGATATAGAAAATAACAACGATTTTTTTATAATGTGGAAAATCCCTTAAAAAATGGGCCCTAAGGCCCATGAGATCAAATTAAGCACAGGGAACTTCAGTATTGGGTACGAGGAGACCCCAAAAAAAATTTTGAGCAAATCCATGACCCGGAGCTGGGGTGGTCTCTTTGTTAGCATAAAACTCTGACAATTTTCCGTAAAAAGTTAGAATAAATGACCTCGTAGTTTTGTAAAAGTTGAAAGCGTTACTTTTCTATTTTCATCAGTATAAATGTGACATTTTATACTTTTATAAAAGTTGAAAATGAAGATTGTTAACTTTCGTAGTACAAAAGTATAAAATCTTCATATTAAACTTTTCTACTCAACTTCAATAAAACTATAAGCTCATTGATTTTGACTTTTCACATCAAGTAAGTGTAAATGTGTAACTATAACAAACAAACTAAAAAAATACTCACATGAGATTCACGAGCACTCCGACTCCTGAGGAAATCAACATGATCTCGGGCTCTAGCTCAAAATCTTGATTGATAATTCGCATGACTGCCATGTAGAACAGCACTCCGGTCACCACCCATATCATCATCACCGACGTTAGAGCTCCAATAACCTGTCAAACGAACAAAAAAAAAATCCAAACGATTGGAATATATTTTTCGATCGACAAAGTTTAGAAGAAAAACAAAACCGATTCTCACCTCCGCTCTGTACCAGCCGAACGGCATCTTTTTGGTGGCGGGCCTGCTCGACACCCATATCGAGAACAACGATATCATGAAGGAAGCAAAGTCCGTAAGTAAATGGGCTGCGTCCGTGGCGATGGCCAAACTGTTTGACAGTACTCCACCTGTAAAAATTGTTCATATACCGTTAAAGTCTCGTTTTCGTTTGAGTGTGAAAACATTTTTTTAATTTGATTAAAGCGCATTACTGACCCACTATCTCCAAGATCATGAAGAGAACACATAATATACTGGCTATTATTAGCTTTTTGCGGGCTTTTTTATCGACCTCTGCGGTTCTATCTCTGTGGCAATGGTCCTCGACTGTAAAAAGTATTGAATATCATTAAATTTAACACTCGTGACTCAATTTCATAATCGATCGACCGCACCGATCACCGAAAATCGGTAACAAATATGTCGCAATTCATCGTCAACGACCACATAGATCATCGGTAATTATATTCATAAATAATCAAATGTTCATGACTAATTTAAATGGTCCAATAAGTCAACCAACAAAATATAATATTAGTCGAAGAAATCGTGCGCCGGAAGAAGTAGCGGCGCGCGCAAAAATTTCTTCGATTACATACGACCGATTACCACTCATTAAATATTGATGCGGACGATTGCAATAAATCAGATCGAATTAGATATCGCGCGGTCGATTCGAAGAATCCATGAATCGGCATTCGAACGTGAAATTGCGCAGCTCGCGGGCGGACGACTTATACCTAAAGGCTATATGCGTGCACAGTCGACGCTCTCGGTCGCCGCATCCTCGCGAAAAATTTTCGGCACACAGCTGATGCGCACTGGAGGAAGCGCACGTGCTCGTGTGCATACACGATATATATATATGTGTGCGCCCCCGTGTGACGTAGACAACGTCGACATCTCTGTATATATTTAGTATATATAATATATGTATGCTGCTCGCGAATTGTCTTGATGTTGCCTATGTAGAGACGTGACGGGAGCGACTACTGCTCTGCTGTACCGAATGTGTACTGCTGCTGCTGCTGCTGCTGCTATGTGAGATTGAAAGTTCATGGAAAAGTGTCCGTGACTGCTGCTCTCGATGATTTTCCTTCCAGTGCCGAGTGTCTTGCGCGTGTGCGTGTGTGATTTCGTGCCGATGCTGCTGTCGCTGCGTTCAACAGTGGTCGAATGAGAGATTTGATGCACCGAAACGCTCACCGTGCCTTCGAGGAATAATAAGCTGCATTTTTATTTGTTGTTCGTGCGCTCCGCGCGAGTGTCTTCGTGCATTCGTTTTTTGTAACGCAATTATGGCGAAGGAGGAGGCGACGGAGAAAAAGGAGATCTCGTCGTCGGATCAGCATCACTTCAAGAAGCCACTGGCCCCGGTCAAGAAGAGCAGCAGCGGTGCGAAAAAGGACCACAAGTTTCGGATGCCACTGGTGAATCTTAAAAACAAGGTGAGTGAGAGCGAGTGCGATGCTTTCAAGGCCTCGAACATCCGTGCATCGATTGAGGTTATCTCTGCGTTGGAATAATGTTTAAATAAATTTTTCGTTGTGTGATTTGGATTTCGTTCGACTGATGGCTTTTTCCGAATTGTGTTTCAGAATGTCAGAAAAAAAATGAAGCCCATCATTGAAAAATTATCACACGGGCTCATAGACATCATTGAGAATCAATCGCAGGACCTTTTGAACTCTTCACCGAGAGTCAAATACAAAAGGTTGATACAGTTCGTCAAAAAAAATCATCTGACAGAAATAGCTTCGGACAAGGTGAATATTTTTCTCGCACTTTGATTGGTTATCTAAAAATGTCATCCTGATCAAAAATAACATCTTTTTGCAGAATATTGCACTGTTACTAAAGTCTGAACGTCTTGTGAACTATGTTGCAACGGGAACCAGAATACCTTACGAATTAGCCATTAACGTTATGATAAGAACTGGCTTTCATTCAGTTAATGAATTTAATAACTATATATACGATCGACAAAGCACATTTATAGTTTTGTGCGGAGAACAAGTGAGTTGAACGAGTGATTTATACGTATGCCTGTGTGGCATATTCACTGTTTACTCAATTTAATTTTCATTTCATGGAAATTTGCAGAAAAACCAGAATACTCCTCTGGTAGAAAGTACAAAACGAAATGGATACTTCAGAGAAAATGATTCTGTAAATATGGAATTATATTTTCAACGCATTTGTAATAACAAAAACATAGAGTCAAGTTCTTGAGAATTCAATATGAATGGTGAGTATAATTATATACAACACTAAAGTTCTGAATAACGATCCCTTATGATGTTTCTTGTTTACATCTTATTGTTTTTCATGATATTTTATTTTATATATTTGAGAATATTTATTTTATAAGTGAATATAAACTTACAGCTGATAGAATTTTGCCTGTAGTCAATAGATGTTATGTCTTCCCCAGCTCCTCCCTTTACAAATGTACAGCAGCCAGATAGTTTTCCATGTACGCAAAATATAACTTTTTTTGAAGAACTATCTTTTTCATCTCTTTCACAACTTAGATCAGGATTCGTAGTCCCATAGCCATGTGTTGATCTGTTTTTAAAACTATAATATTTATTTATGTATTATATAAGCAAAAACTGTAGCATACATTTTTTTTATAATTTTAATTTTTTGTAGAATAATTGTGAAATTATTGCATGTTCCTAGTAAATTAACACACGAAGTAGGTATTGTAGTCAAAATAAAATAATAATTTTTAATAATGCTATATGCGCATTAACAAGAACACAAACTTAAGAAAGTTTTTAGTTGCAATATTAGAATGTGTTTGAAGTCATGCATATTTTCATTAGTTAACTATGAGTTCCTATTTGTGTGATACCACCAAAATAAGTAATAAATTTCTAACGTAACGAAACATATTCATTTGTAATGACAGATTTTTACTAAAATCATTATCAAACCATTGTATACGTACACAAAGAATTAATAGGTCGAGGTAAATTAATGCATCGATGAGGCATAGGTGAATAAGGTGTTAAGAGTTACTCGAGCTAACTTTTAATGTACGCATAGTTTTTCCCGACCAATAAATGTTTATTATAAAATGAACGTGGGAACGATTTATCGAGTTCCCCCTTGAAAGTCCTCTTTTCTTCAGAAAGTTAAAAACGATCATTATCAAATAATTTGTGAGCTAATTGTTTCTATGAGAATTTTCTAATTGTTTCTAAGAAGAATCTATCTGTATATATATCTTTCGATGTTAAATTCAGATTGGTCGAAATCAGATACATCGATTCTACTATTCCCCACGCGCTCGAGTATCATTTTTCCAAATCGACGTCTCACCAAGCGATCAAACTTCAAACACGCGATTACCGATATCATAGTGCCTATACCTCCAACGAAACTCATTTCTCCCTCTCCCAAAACGAGCTAGCTAAAAAAAAAGCGAGATTCAAATCGATACTTCGCCGCATTATGTAATTAGTAAAATTACTCGGTCGTCTTTCGGCACGAGGAAAACTTTTTTTGTAAATCAAGACTCCTCGAAAGAGACTACGACCCATTGACTTCGAGTTGATCTTGAAATTTTTTTTCTCTTCGTATCAACACGAAACTCGACTCGCGCGACGACGCTCGATTATTGCGGTCAATTTCACGCGCGTCTTTCTTATTCACCTTTGAAGAATTTTATCTATCTGACTTCTCTCCCGTGCAGTCGTTTGCCTGCCGCCGTCGTGTGCAAAACTACCTATATAAGACACGATACATAAGTCGCGGGAACACGTCGACCCCGCGCGTATAGCACGAGATAAACATCGTCGCAGCGCACGCACGTCTATTAATCGTCGCGCGCGCGGCTAATAATCATTTTGCGCTCGAGCTGTGCTCTCTTTATAATCGCGAATACTTATGTCGTTTCGATTCTTATGTGTACCCCACCTCCTCCACTATAATAGTGAAATATCGAGCGCCGCATACATCATAGCGCTCCACATCTGTCTCTCTTTCGCCTCGCGTCTCATGACATATCGGCAGCCGCGAGTGCACATGTATATATCACGTTTGTCAATAACAATGATGTCGTGTGCAAAACCTGATTATTCCTCGCGCCCATTAAGAATACGTGCAGAGCAGAGAGCAGCGGCGACTTGACTCGTGTGTAGTCGTATTATTGTATATTTGTATCGGCGCGAGGCGTATCCTACACGTAATTGCCTATATGTAATGTAATTGCCCCCCCGTCTCCTCTCGTTATACCTCGCTATATCGACATATTATGTATATTATCATCGTGAGCGCGATCGCGCCGAGTCGCATATACGATGATATATTTACAGGTGCATATACGCGCAGGGTGGAGCTCGACTCGGTTATATTTCGACAAAAAAAAACGAGCGAAAGACATCTGCATCTTGATCTGGTAACGCGCCGATAACTTTTAGACCGTGGATCTTAATAAATTCACGATAAGAATTCGCGATCGGACTCTTCCGCTTAAAAAGTAATTTAAATATCGTCGTATAAAATATGCGAAAATCGATTTATCGCTCGGGTATTATATATCGTCGACGATTAAAAAAAAACTCGCGCTATCCATCCATATTATTGTTGTATAGAACGGCATATATAGGATTACGGATGTGCGTATAATTGTATTCAAAAATTCAGCAAAACGTGCGCTGGATTTTTATCGCATGCGGATTTAACTCTTTTTTTTCTTCGTTTATTATCGAATCGACTTGCGACTAAGCGCAGCGCGAGCCAAGTACATTCGAAAATTGTATTTTCAGTAACTGAAAAAACTCGTTACGTAGCGATTGAAAAAACATTGCTCGAGTTATAATGTTATGATAATTAGGCAGGTCGACCAAGTCGCGAGGGATTAGAGCGAAAGAGTCACGGATATGATATATACACGATCGCGCGACGACGATGCGCCGCGCCGCCGCGCACACCGCATCGAAATTTCGCGGCAAAGATTTGAGAGAGATTAGAGCTGGTAAGAGCGATCGAGCACGCAGCAGCTACGGTAATTTTTACCTTGGGCATTCCAGCGAAATTTCTTAGTAATAAAACAATTAATCGAGTAGCAGCAGCAGCAGCAGCAGCAGCAGCAAAAAAAAAGTTGAGTCGCACAGGCAAAAACAATATAATTATATATGCGGCTGTCAAATTTTATCAGAGAGCGTCAGTTTTTTTTGGTAAATAAGTCTGACCTGTTATCGAGCTGCTGAGTCGAGACTGTACTTTTTGATTCCGGTTCCTCGGAAAGTGCCACCTGCTGCTGCTGCTCCGGCTGTTGGGGACTCTTCTTCTCGTTATTATCCATTGCTCAACTGCGGCGTGCCTATGTGCGTGATACGTGCGCGAGAGAGAATCGCAACGATCGGTGCTCGGACACAATTGGACACGTCGATGCGTCGCGCGCAATAAACTTCCAAGACTAAAACTACATCGGTCGCGTACGGTCCGGTGCGATGCAGCTCCAAGACGGCAGCAGCAGCAGCAGCAGATCCGCATATATAGTCGTGGGGCTTACTCTCTCTCTCTCTCTCTATCTATCTATCTCTCTGCGAGGAGGATGGATCGGAGTCGTCGTTGTTGCGGGCCCCGACGCGCGACGCGTTTAATAATGCACCGAGAGCTGCTGCTGCTGTTGCTATGCACACTGACTGTGCAGAGCCTTCGATGTGTATATATTATAAATATATAATGTAAGAATCGATGGAAGAGACACGACGGTGGTGTGTGTCGCCGTTGCTGCTGCTGCTGCTGCTCAACACACACACTCCTGCCGCGCGCCAATCTTTCGCGCAATTATGTGTATTATAATATGTATTGTATCGCGAGAGCCCCGCTGTTGTCGCTGCGCCGTGTCGTATATATGTACTCGCGCGCGCGCGATCGGCTGCTTTTTAACTCGCTCTCCTGTCAGTGCGTGCGTGCGCGCCTTACAACCTGCCCGCAAAGCCCAAATTAGACACGGGCTACTTTTTACCGCGGTTCTGGCTTGTGGTTAGTACATAGCATGTATCTCAGCTATTTTTTTCTCGATGCTATCCGTTTATCCGACCGTTTCCGCCTTTTATCGTTGCGTTTTAGCACGAGAGAGATATACCTTTATGGAAATCTTATGGAGCGCTCGATTTGTGTTTTGATTTTTTTTTAGCTTACTATCCGTGTATCATAAAAATTAAATTTTGTTTGTTGCCAATAATTTTTAGCCTTACTTTGTCCGACGGGATGTGGTTTTTCAAATATATCTCTCTACGTATACGAAGACATTCGAAACAAATAAAAATTCATGCAGTCTCGATCGTACGTGAAAAATTCCAGTAATGATTAATTCAACAGACCGATAAAAAAAAATGTCCTTAAGAATAATCAATAGTTCACGCAGAGTCTATGTTATTATTGCTTTAATTATTATTATTTTCATTGATATATCAATCAAAAATGTTGAACATTTTCTATTATATGATTTATAATAGGTTGAAAAAGGTATTAGTAGATGTTCAGTCCTGCGCTCGAAGATTCGTTCGACTACAGAAGTCGAATATTTTTATTTTTATAAATTACAAAAAAGATAATGTTTGAAGAAAACAAAGTGATGTAAAAGTCTGAAATTCTTAGACCGATCTGTAGATAAGTTGCGTAATGTACACGTTGGAAATCATCTTGTACTTTTTTTTTAATCATTTCTCGAGCAGTATTCCATAAATCAAGATCGATATCTTATCGCTCAAAACAAAGGACCCATAGAACTAGAATACAAAACCGATTAAATTTCGTCATATTTAAAAAAAAAATAGCGCTCAATTTACTGACAAAAGTTATTGAACTTGGACAAAAATCTCAAAAATTATGTATGTTTTATTTTAAACAATAAAAATTAGAACTGAATCAGCTGTATGGAATTGGTGCCGATCAATGAGATATTCATTCATGCCAAATATAGCAAAATTTCTGAAAATGTTAATTTGAAGTACGGAATTTTTTTCTCAAAGTTGTAGGGAGATAATACCGATAATCTTGCGGTATTCAAATACGATTTAGTGAATATTTAAGGTCGATGTCACATCGATCGCATCCTTATGAAAGAATTCACGAGATACGGCATAATTTTATCCTCTCCCCCACCTACCTCTTTTTCTCTCTCTCCTCCTCCTCCTCCTCTGCCCGTCTGTCTCTCTCTTTCTGCATATTTTTCCTCGCGAGCATCAACAATGCTCATCAGCTGACTGTCAAAACTTTTGCAAGCACGTTCACTGATTACTTTATTAATGAATCGCGTCGAATAAATCACACCCGAGTTCAAATTTGTTTTCTTTGTGCTTTGATTGAGCAAAAAACGAAGCGAGACTCGCGGAAATAAAATGTCGAATATTTCCAAGAGACTTTTTCATTTGAAATTCATGGTTCGCACCTCACGTAGACCATACTGATAGAAGCAATGCTAGATTCATCGAAGCAAAGCTAGAAACGATGTAAACTATAGAAAGAAAAAAATGGGGGGTAAGGCATCGATAACACAACATCTGCCTGTCAACGCTGTACGCGCGGAGTGACTGATTCTCGATAACTCGGGCTCGTATTTGTCTATTATATCTCAATGTCTATGAGATGAATTTGTTTCGCCATTGTGCATACGTAACTAGCTTGAAACAATAAAATTTCAAAACCTTCTTAAGCTCTTCCACAAACATTTTTTCTTAGGGAACACTGACGAGATTTCGTAAACGAATTTTCAAATTTTAACTTTTTTCCAATATAAAAGTAATAAAAATACCATATTCTTCGATTGTTTGAAGTATTTTTGTAAGCTTTAGGAAATCATTCAGTAACTTACATCTAAGAGAGTCGTTTGCTATAAAAAAAACACCTTAAAATGGGCTACTAAAGCGAAGGTCACGACAGTACACCCTGAGCTTTTCGTTCGCAAATATCTTTTATGAAGTCGTTCTTGGATGATATATTGTTTTCAGTGCGGCTAAAAGTATTACATAGAAAAATCATTCGAAAGTGACGATTTAATTGTCAAACCCTCAAAAATTATATTCAAATCGATTGCGAACTAATAATTTTACGTTCAAACTATTCGGTACATATATTTTACGTTCATGCATTTGAAAAATTTCGATCTTTCATCGGATTGCAAATACGTACCGCAAATGATTTAGTTCATCGGATTATGACTAAAAATCATGAGAAATCATCACATGGTATTTATCAAACTGAGGTACAAGAATTTTTTATTTCAAATTAATGAATATTTTAGAATGAAAATTCATCTGCTTAGTTTAGACGAAGGGGTAAATGTAACTGTAGCATATTCTTTTAAACCAACAGCATAATTAATTTTCTCATTTTCATTTATCGACAATTATCCAATTATTAACATTGGCCACAACAGTCTTTTAACGTTATTATACTAATTTTTTTTCGTGATAAGATTGTGAGAAATAATGACATATTTTTTTGTAACGAAACACTCGACGATTCACGCGATTCGATTATACTCCGTGACTGTCGTGGTGAGTTCGTGCGAGAGCGTACAGACGTACTTGATTTGGAACGAGAGCGTAAAAGTACTTCGAAATTAAGTTCAAATTTTGACACATAGGACCGTTGACGCCGAACGATCGAAGCTCCTCGCCAAAGGCCATCGCCGTGTGTCATCGATGCGCGCTTGTCATCGCGCGGGAGATATCAACGATCGGCCGAACGACGATCGCTCGTTAATTTAAGTTACAATGATTTTTCCAACTTACAGCTTGATTTTCTCTCCTTCCATTTTCGGGCGGGTTACGGGCACACGATTTATCGTCTTCTTCGTCGTCGTCGTCTTTGTCTTCGTCCTCGTCGTTGTCGTCTTTGTCGTTGTCTTTGTCGTTGCCTCGAGCCTGTGCGAATTTAGGAGAGAATCGCGCGGCAGGTCTCTCTCTGTTTTTCGGTAATGCGGTGTGCGGGCGGCGGGTGGCTGCTGCTGCACACACTTCGGCGCTTTTTATATTAGCTATAAAATTTTGACGCCCCTCGGGCCCCCGCGATAGACGCACTTCGGATTGCGAGTTATTGCACTTTGCAGCTTTTGTACCACCGAATCGTCCCTGTCTCTGTCCGTCCGTCCGTCTTATACGAGCTGCAGAAGGATCGGTGTGCAACAACAACAGAGAGAGCGAGAGAGAGCAGCCCTGAGAGAGGCCGCCGGCTTCTTGTGTGTATGATGTGTGGCTGTTAATACAACTGACGTCTTACGCTCGATCACTCGCCTTCTCGAGCCTCTCGTCGGCAGTCTCTTGCCCCGAATGATACCGATATTATTTCATATACATACACACATATATAATATATTGTATTGTATTGTATTGTATATCCCGGCATACATGTAAATATCTCGTGTATTAGGATAGCCGGGTGTACTGCTGCTGCTGGCTGATTATCAGCGGCGCGCGAGGAGCGAATTGCGCACGTCACTAGTCAACAGACACACACAGACACACAAGTTCGAACGTGTGTACGTGTGTGTGTGAAGTGTAGTAAACACACATCGAGAGACCATGATCGAGCCCAAGACACACTCGAGAGGTCCACAATCTGATATCGAGAAGATTGCGTGTTTACACTTTAAAAGCGCGGTGTACAAACGATTATCGTCGCGGGCCCAAAACTTTCGAGCGAGCGAGATCGAGAACACCAATTTTTTTTTTACATTAGACCTACGTCCTACTATATTCCATTGATCGGAATGTCTTCACCGTATTCCTACCCTAGATTTTGGACGATAAATCGTACCGATCCCTCCCGCGTAATTAACGCGCCGATCGATGCATCGATCGACGGCGCCGTTAGCGCGTCGATTTTTTTGAATCGAAATTTCGATAACGCTCGACTCCTCTCCGCCTTATTAGTAGTAATAGTATATAGTATATAGAGCTCTCGTCGTCGTGTGCAAACGAGAGAAAGAAAGAGAGAGCATAATAATAGATAAGGCGCGACACGAACGATGGGAAAATTCATTCGGGTTTTTAATCACTAATAATACTATCGGTATCAACGCGCGCGATGATGATGTTCCTTGTGTGCCGTGCGCATCACTCGACTCGCTCGCTTGCGAGGCTAGACCACAATAAATATAACAATAAGTAGGAGAAGTAAAAAAGTACAAGGGGGCAAGGGAGGGGGGGNGGGGGGGGGAGGGAAGGGAAAAAGCGATAAGGCCTGCTGCTGCGCTGCGACTCATGCATAAAGAGAGAAACACCTCGCGATCGCCCTTAGCTCATCCGCGGAACTCTGGATGCGCGCGTGTAATATATGAAAATTGTGAGCGCCGCGTGCAACATAGCTCTGTCCGATAAGCGATATAATAATAACATGTATCGGAACAATAGAGGCACGAACGACGTGCGCACCAACGATGATGCGTACTTTATGCGCCGTGGATCGACCCTATTAATTGTTCAAACTACCCTTCGAGTACTTAATTTTGAAATATACTCATTTAATCCTTTTGTTTCTTCTTTGTTTGCAGATTAAATTACATCTAGTGGAAGAGCGTTATCTTCGATTCGTCTTCGAAGTCTTCGAGATCAACTTAACTAATCGCACGGTTGCTGTTACCTACCTTTGCTTCTCTTTTTGAAAAGACAAAAAAAAACAACAAAAGACAAAAAAGAAAGACTGCAGTTGTAATAATGATATATTCAAATATTTAGCGCACGAATATTCTCCTATACAGGTTAATTATACATATTTTCTATCGATATAGTTTAATATATCAACGATGCACGATCACGGAGGATTATCATTACTTTATTTTTATACGTTTATATGTACGGTGATATACATTTATGCCTGCGCGTTCGCGAGGCCCCGCGCGCACTTGGATCAATTCGTCGAAAATTATGATGCGTTATACTTCGAAAAATAGGTTTTGAGCTATATCGGATTTTTCTCTCTTTCTGATTTTTTCTTAGCACGACTTCCATTATCGCCGAAAGAAAATTCGTGTTCGCTTTTCGCGCAAGTTAACTTACTAAAAAAATCTGAATAATTCTTTACAGACTCTCTACTGAAAATGTACATATTTATAAATAATTAAGAAATAAGTTATAGCGTTATTGATTTTTCCGACACTGTATAGATTTTCACTTTTTGGTAAAACAACGAGTGATCGATTTAATTAAATTGTTTTTTTTTTTTTTTAATGTTTATACGCAATACTGCAATACAACGATGCCTCGACAAAACATCACCGTAACGATGATATATGCTATAATAATATTTCGGTAAAAATGTCTCGCAATCATCAAGATTATTTTTTCCCGAGAGTGGTTATGAATGAAATTTTGATTAACGCGTTAAAACTTGTAAATAGACTTTCACACACGCGTGTACATTTGTCAGTTAAAACTTGTGTTCAAACGAATGGTCTTATATTTTAATAAACTAGCAAATAGGTTCCTCATAAGTAATAATGTACAGTTTAGCTAAGATAATAGTATAATAATACGAGATTACTAATTAATCGCAGCGGTTACAAAAACTTACCGATCTCGCACGAGGGAAATCGGATGTTGCGAAAATGCTCGAATGATCCCACGTGTTGGATCGTTAGTCTTTCAGACTGTGGTTTGCGTTATACATAGGTATATATATATTCATACGTATAATTTGTGCGACGTTGGATACAGTCATAGTTCTAGCCATAGCTCAATCTCATTGAATTTTCGCTCCTTTTTCAAGCGAGCGTATCGTTTTTGGTGCATTATGTAAAAAAGAAAATTTGTTCTGTCGACGTTTGATTTTTCATATTCTAAGCGAAGCATTTTTTCTGAGTATATAGAATTAAATAGAGAATAATCCTTGTTACCAAAAGACATTCGTGCTAAAAAAAAAATTCTAACGCAAATAACGATTTAACACGCTGCATGTAGTATACGAAAAAAACGAACGAAGATTCGTAATAATTTGCCACAACACACAAACGTAGAAAATTACGACCGAGTGACTGAAATTATTTTTCGACTTTAGAATGGATCGATTAAATGTGACTATCCAATACTACATAGGGAAAACTTTATTCTTACAGCGTGATTTCAATAAAATAAGCTTAAGGGCGGATGGAAACATTTTTACGATGACGATTTTTGGAGTCACTGAGTATGTGTGTGTATGTGTGCTTAACTGCGTTAAATTTTTGTGCTCGAGCGAATTATTAGATAATACATTGTAAACATTTTGCGAAGTGTGCTGTAAGATACGTATGTAATTTAGCGAACAAAAAAAAGTGAAGATAATTGCAAATACCAACTTCGTTGTTAATATTTTTCATCGATAAATAACACGCAGCCTTTTCAACCATTGCTCGCGATACGATGCAGTTTTCAAAGGAGTACATCGGTTCATCCGCGTTAGGACCATATTCGATCCACGTTTCGAGTTACAAACGATGTATTGTACTCCTTCGGCGATCGATTCGATTTATTGAGAAAATATTGCGTCGTGAACATCGCGAGGGGATGTATCAAAAATCGATCCTCTCTCACTCTGCAATACGAGCTTGTGCTTACTCGTTCAAGAGAGCATGTGTAACTAATTTATTGCGTGAAATAAACCACATCTTATTTGCCAATGTACACAATGCGTAAGAATAATTTTCAATCGCCGCATCCTTTCTTATCTTTTTTACAGCGATGTATACGTTTTGTGCCATTTCGTTTCGTGAAAAATTGATAACGCAATGACATTATAATTGCATTTTGAACTTTGAACGTTATTATTATTACTCGCGGCACATTATTAAAATTCAAGCGTCGATATTTAAAGGACGCAGTCAATAGAACAGTCACAAGGACAAGATCGGATCATGCGAGAAAAAAAGCATAACACACTACCGTTACGACCTAAAATAATCTCGAAAAATATAAATACACAAGGTTTTTATGCGCTCTAAATAATTCACGTTTTGCGAGCTGCTTAAAAAATGCCTCGATTGTTGTATACGCTTTATAAAATTCATTCAAAAGTATATTACATTTGTTAAAAATAAATTCGCTCGCGGCGGCGTTATGAATAATCGCGTTTAACGTACAGATAACGCGACGGTTGGAAAATCATCGGTTGTTGCCAACCAAAAAAAGAAAAGAAGAAACTCACTCGTCGTCGCTGCCCATGCTCTCGACGATGGTATCGGCACTCAGAATATTTTCGTACTTGTAACTATCGTAATTCTTCAAATTTTTACTCGGCGTATTCATTTGGGTGCGTACGCGAAAACCTGCTCGATATAAAATATCTATTCGCCATACAGAAACGCGACCACTGACTAATGTTGTTGTTGTGCGGCGCGTGGAAAGAGAGAGAAAAAAAAATGCGCCGCTCGCGAGCGCGGCTGATGATGACACTCGCCGCCGCACAGCGAATGAAAATATACACCACGCGCTTCATTCTTGATAAAACATCGAGATACTAAGGATACACAGAACAATGTGCTCGTCGCGCACAGTGCAACATATAAATAATAAGTGCACGCTCATGTGTCACTTATCGCGGTTACGTCTATATCTGTATGCTCGTTTGCTAATTCATGCGAGTTCATTAAGGTCGATTCGAGCGATGTGCCTCTTCTTTTGTGCCGAGGAGCGAGTGCTCTTTCGAAAAAATTCATGTATCGCCCTACAGGATTTAGTCTTGCATTTTAATAAACGATAGAAGTCATTAATACAGTAAGAAGCTTTATTAAATTAATTCAATTTTTTTTTTTAACTTTACGCTTATACCGATAAAATATACAAGAACTACTCGTTGAGCGTTCGATATAATTGAATACAATAAAACCATTACGAGGCAATTTTTCAAACGCGATCGTTTTAAAAATAGCCTTTTGATTCGAATGAAAAAATTAAAATACATATATTATTGAAATAAATTGAGATCTCAAAAGCCTCTCTTACAAGTTCGACGACAAAAAAAGTTTACGTGTGTTTTTTAAATGCATCTGGATGAACACGTTCCAACGTGACATTTACTAAAAAAATACTTTATCCAAAAATGTCAATAGTTGAATGATCCCGAATGTGCATCCTTGCGCTGATTCATAACAATATATATTGTATTGCATAGCGTAAATTAACGTTACGAAAATTGATTACAAGTGACTCAGATAGACACGATACGGTGTTGGTATAAAAAGACGAGATATAATGAGTAACATCTTAATTACGTCTAAAGCTAATATTTTTCTTTGTACAAAAGTAAGTGGTAAATATTCAAGTTTTTAATAAAAAAAAAAACGTTAAATCATTTACAATTCTTGATGTTTCGCATGTTTCTCACTCACATCATCTAGAAAAAAAAATTAAATGGGTTAATTTCGTAAATTCATGTTGTTATATTATGAATAAAATTGGGGACATAATTTTACCTTCTTTCTCAACTTGTCTATTTTCGTTTTCGAGCTTCACTTGCAATGCTCTGATTTCTTCATCGTAACCGATCCATTCAGGTAAAATACGCATTGCTGCCTGCAGCTTTGCTTCTTTAGTCATAGGATTATTGCACTAAACAAAAATGATAGTTACATTTTTAGTGAAAAATTTTAGTTACACTTAACTTTTGTAAAAGTATTAAAACTTACCAAGTCAATAGTCTTGGCATACTTCTTCGATTTATCGTCACACCAAGTTTCACACCAAAGCCACTCTTGTGGCAGTGTTTTTATCGATACTTGATGTATCATGTTATTTGGCAAATCCTGTGAACATATGATATTGGTTGATAAAACTTTGAATTTCAAAATGTATATTTCAAAACATTCATTCGAATTACCTGATCTAAATTGGATAAACTATTGGGATCTTGGCTCAATGCTTGGTATTGACCGCGCAGACGATCTCCGGCTGCGATGCGCCGGAATCGCTTCAGATCAACAACGTACAGAGCACTGATGTGATACGAACGTCCCTGTAAATGATTTTTCCAGTAACCTTGCTTCCAAAATCTGAACCCGTCCATTTCTTTTCTACTATCACAGAATGGAGTGTATGCGTATGGCGCGCCACCAAGGTCCATGGTCGCCAATTCTTTCAAGTCGGCTCTCACGACCTGAGAAAGTTCACATTAGAATTCGAATCACGATTATTGAATCATCGAAATAATAATAACAATATTTAGTTACCTGATCGGCATCAACAAAAATTATTTTCTTAACATCTAGGGGAAACAATACGTCGAGGAAAAGAATCTTGTAACCCCAAATGGTTCTTTGCTTTTCAGTTTGTTGATGTAACCATCTTGGCCATTTGTATTGAATTAATTCATATTCAAATCCATATTCTTTGGCCATGTGAGGTAAAAAGTCCTGTAATTATTCGATTGGTGAGTGTGCAAAATCATTAGAAGTGTATTTTATTTATATAACTATTTATAGACTTACTTTCAATGTGGGGGACAGATAATTTTTCAGGAACCAAAATTTAACAGGCATTTTCGTATTTTTCATAACACTTAACATCATGATTTTCAAAAACCTTTCGTATAAGTGTCCAGATGCTAGAGAGAATATGTTCAACTTTTCATCGGCATCTTCGCTATCTTCGCTGTTTGAGAATGTTCTACATAAATAAAGATAGTTAATTTTTCATTTCAAAAAATAATTAACGCGATTTCTTGTATTAAAAATTATTTACCTCGATATAGAATTCCATATGCCTGATTCTTTATCGTCATCGGCTAGTAAATCTACACCGATTTTGTCTGGTTTTTTCGTTACTTTCAATTTTAAAACGTTACTTCTCAACGAACTTATCAAAACTTTAACAGTTTTTCCTTTATGTATAACATCTGCTCCATCAACGCTAGTAATGTCGTATATTTCACTCGATCTTCCAGCACGTAATTTTAGCAGCCATTCTCCAGGATTAGATTTCAACTGGAAATATCCTAAATTGGCCATTACAATTGTGTCAACTGTCGCAGTGTTTCTCTCAGTTCCTAAAGTTATTTGTAATCCTCTTGGTGGATTTCCAATTAAAGCTTCAAAACAATGACCTTCCAATAATAAGTATTCAAGCTCAAATTCACTGAGAATAATAAAAATGATTAATTTAACGAATAAAAATGGAATAATTACAAAAATGTATACAAACCTGTGAACACCCATCGCAACATTATCTAATTTAATATTGTCCAAATCGTACACGCTACGAACTACCTCAACCAACCAATTTTCCGGTGCATGAATGTATTGCGTCAGAAGCGATGACGTTGGTAATTTTGTAAATTTCGCAACAGACCCAATAATCTCACCATCATTGTTGAATTGTAGTTCTGAGTCAAACACAAAACGATAAAAACTGAAATAAAAGCGCATTTAATGAGTAATTAAAAACCTTCCACTTGACAAGACATATATTTTTGGTCTTTTGGATAATTAAAAAAGGGCCAGAAATGAAAAAAAACATACCTTTTTAAAGGCATATCACTATTTTTATCTATGCAGTTAAGAAATACTTTTATATTAGAATTTAATGACTTGTAGAGAACTTTAAGTATCGGTCCAAGTTTTTGAGCTCCTCTTGATACAGGATCAACTACAGCCACAATATTAAATATTGGTTCATCTAAGTTTTTGGCAGGCAGTTTAATGGCACTGAAAATGAATGAAGATATTATATGATAGTTTTATTAAATAAACTTTCATAATTTAAAAATGTATAATGCACACCTGTGTTCATCCCCATGGAAGGGAACTTCGAATCGACTTCGAGTTTGAGGTCTGGGTACTAACAACGACGTTATTCTCATTATGGTATCGTCAGGTATACTATTACCTTCAGCTGTAATATACATAAAAAATAATTAATCAAGTTTTAGATATTATTTTTTTTTACAAATAATTACTTACAATATTCATCAGTGAAAAATTGACTTTTCAGCAAAAATTTGTACAATTTCTCTCCATATGTACTATGACTGAATCTTCCTAAAAGAGAGAAGTCTTCACTAGAAAATTCCTCATCATTTTCCAAAGGTCCAATCACACGGCCGTTATAAACAATCGTTCTTGCATTTTCATTAATACCCAAAACATTTTTACAATAATCGCTTTGAACTTGAAGCAAAAATTCTTGTTGTTTCATTTCCGCTAATATTTCATCCTAAATGAATACATTTTTGAATTAAATAAATTAAATTTTATAAAAAGTATTCATTCAGTATCATGAAAAGTTACCTGTATATCAAATTCACCATTTCTAATCTGAGTATAAGTTTCTTCTTTCATGAGTTTACGTAAATATTTGAAGGACTCTTCAACAGGCAAAACTTTAATTGCAGCTAAAGCTATTTGATTAATATTAGTAACAGAATGCTTTGAGTTTTCACTATTTATCAGAATTGTTGCTCTATTGTCAGCGTTGGATTCCTGGTCATTAATAGTAAAATTTTAGAATTGAAGTATTAAAAAAATAAAACGTGACTAAAATGATATTTACTAAGTAATTTAAAGTTTCTTTCAACAACATTCTTCCAGAGTGTTCTTCTAAGTTTACAGTAATCCATATAGTATAAAGGTGAGAAGGAACATTTTTTCGTGAAACGCAGATGTATTGCATATTATCCATTAACCAAACTGATTTATCTTGCGAACTCCATTTGTGATAATCAGTATTATCGGGAATCGATCCAATTAAATTCAACCATATGTTATTTTCAGTTTTAAGAACTCTTTCGTTCAATCTTAATGGGATAAATAAATCAAGTGATTATTATTTATAGCTAAAAAAATTACTTAAAAACTTTGTAATAATACCTTGGCATGACATTTGGTTGATTCATGAGATAATCAATAACATCATCGCTTTCTGTTATTTCTCCTTTATACACTGCTTTTTGAATTACAGGCGTTTGTGACATAATGGTAGATAACACAGCTTCTTCAAATAACTCTGCAGTTAGTTGATTAGATGGTAAAGGAACACCATTTAAGAGGACTTGAGGAACATTTTTGAAGCCTGTTCTTTTGATAAAGTCACTAGCCAAATGTCGTCCAACGTCATATTCTGATTCTTCACCGAATATGTAGTTGGCATTTGCTTTTGAATCAATAGCTTTAAGGGCTTTTCTAACATTATCAACTGATAAACCATTTGATGTATCATAATTTTTCAACTGAAAATAAAATATTAAATATTCTATAAAATTCCATCATACTATAAAAACTATAAAAGTTTAAAAATTATTCTCCTTACACTAGATAAAAAGTTAATAGCATCCTTGGACGTTTTACTTTCCATTAGATAATGGAAGGCATTATTAATAGCTATACTTGGGTCACTTAATCCTGTTTCAGTCATATTGAAATTTGTTTTAAACACAAAACCTACTCTTAGAGGAGCTGAGTGAGCATACAATGATTCTGCTAAAGTTATCAATGGTGCAGAATCTTCACTAATAGGATCAATAATGATCACCTTGAAAATAAAGTAATTTTAAGTAAAGTGTACTGATTGAATAGTTTGATCATTCACTTATACATACAAGATTGTACAAATTACGGCGAATGTTTCGAAGCATTCCAGGGAAAGTAGGCCGCAGCAATTCTGTTAATGAAGGAGACCATCTATTGTACCGAAAATCATTTTCAATATCATTTATCCATATCACAGCTGAATCACGGATATCAATGGCAAAGTCTTGGTTGTTAACATTGTCTGATAAATCCAATGCTATGAGATTACTTATTTTTTGACCTTGCAAGCCTATATTTTCCATGAAATAAGTAAAGTGAAATTAAAATTATGATCCCATCTATAAATTATATGGTGCATGAAATTTACCAATTTTATGCAGAGATTCCATCACTCTCAATTCAGAACGTAGAGATTCCAAAAGTGTCAATACATCAACAGTGTCTAAATCAAAAAATAGACCATTAATAAATAATGCTGTTTCTGAAGGTTGTATGCGCAAAGTAGTTGAAAATATCTCCTGGTTCAATTTAATTTCTTTTTTCATTTCATTGCTTACTTTAGTTTTAACCAAAGATTTAGTCTGAGGAATTGAATAAATTCATAAGTTAACTATACGTTCGAGACGAGTATAATAAAATATTATTGAGTCAGCATACCTGCAGAGGGAAATTTTGTGCAATGTCAGTCATTACATCAATTGCCTCTCCGGCTGGAGAGTTCATTATTCTTTCAGCAGCTTGGTGACTTAATTCTTGAAATTGCCAAACTTTGAGAGCCTCAACTTCATGACTATTTTCAAGTAAATAACTTTGCATTTTCTCCAATTTTTTGGAGTGATCAGGATATAATTTTCTGAAATCATAATGTATTTATTAGATCAAGTTATATTTTTATCGATTTATGTATTAATTACTTCAAAGCTGAAAAATTAATTCCATCTACTTCATCTTCATTTTCGCTAACACTTTCTTCTGATTGAGCTTGGTTTTCCTTAATATCTGAATCATCTGTAGCTTTATATTCAGTTGATTTCATTTGAAGCTCGACTCCATAACCAGAAAGTCTAAGTTTTCTATCAGGTCTGTCCTGCAGAATGATAAATTTTTATGTTAGTGGATGAAAAAATTAGAAAATTTCCTTTATTAAATTTACCTTGATGTAATGGCGCAAAACATAATTAATTTTTTTAGATTCAGCCAATGATTTAAGTTCATTGTGCAATTCTGAAAAACTAGGTGTTCCCATTTGACCATATAAAACTATAGTTTTATCAGTTTGTTGTTTTCCAAGATAAAAATGATCTAAATTGTATGTATCAATTCCTTCAGGATTCCACTCATCCTGTATAAGATGAACAAACATTAAAAAATTAAATAGAAAGTAACGTTATCATTATTTGATACGTACATCTTCAATAAACTGATTAAACTTGTCTAATGTACAAAAGTATTTGCCACCAACGTCAATGAAATTGGCGCAATCCAAATCTGAGGCATTCTTATTTTCAGCCATTTGAGAAAACATCTCTACCCTGGCAGAATATATTCTCAAAGAAAGTCCTAACTTCATTATGTTTATTTCAGATGGACTTAAAAACTTTGAAGCCATCGATATGGTCAGGTCATATTGTTCTTTTTCTGTAACTACAAATCATAAACATTCAAAAACTTGACAATATTTTAAATAACGTTAAGGGGCACGAGAATAAAGGTTGCATTATACCATTCTGAAAGTCATTCGATGCATCGGATACTTGATCAACGAATCTCCAAAAATAATCTTGACTCTCATCGTTTAAATATTCTGCTACTTCTAAAACCAATGGTGTATCCTTCCATTTGGCATCAATTAACGTACTAACGAACTTATTGATTTTTTTCTCAGCTGCGATCGGGCCCAGGTTCATGAAGAACGGGCAGAGAAGGACGAAGAGCAACATCTAGAAAACAAACGTTATTTAGTTTTTAATTCTGATCCAAGTACCGCATGTTCGCTATGCCGCGGTCGATTTACAAAAGCCGACATATAATCAGATCTTAACCTTCAAGCGAGCGAGACGTTTTGCAAGAGTAAATCTTGCCGCTAAACGCCGACAACTTTTATTCGGATAGGGTACACGAAATAATAATGAAATCAGGCAGAAGCGGCCCAAATGACACCGAGCCACTTGTCACGGAACGAAAAAATAATTGCCAATTCGTTTTCGCGTAAATAAACTCTACGCAGCGATTCGTAAATTTACATTTCGAACAGCCATTTCTGCTATAGTGAAAACACAATGATACGTATATAGCTATACTATGCTGCAGTCCTCCCGTCTGCACTTTGCACAGCTGGCACTTGGCTTCGTTGGTGCCACTGCGGCGTTTCGCGCACTGTTTTGACGGCGTGTTTAGTGTGTTGTGTATGTTTATGTATCAGACATCAGTGTGTGTTGAAGAGTAAGTTGGCAACTTGGGCGTAATTTATTCTTAAGGTGGCAGCAAATGTGTTCCCGATTTAAAGCTTTATCATTCAGTCAAGCTACGTGAGTAACTTTAAGATTTCTATTTTTTACAAGTATGATTTCGTGCAATAGCTTTAAAATCGAGATTCAAATTCAATTCTTCTGCAGCGCCAATAAAAAATTCCTGTTTCACTTCCTCTGCAGTTTCTATCTCAATTACGCTTTGAGTTTTACAATCGCATCGCTATTCTTTTAGATCCCGCTAGTAATTTTGAACATTATCATCAATTTTCTCAACTACTTATGCAAGCAATCATATTTGACTTCTCACCTTCAAATGCAAAACCGATTTTCACTTTATCATCATTTTCACTTTACTTTCATAATTTTCGGCACATTTTCGATGGTTAAGGGTCTGACGAAAAATTAATTAAGTGGTAATGCATTGACTAACAGATGAAGTTAAGTAAAGTGAGTATTGCTATTATTAAATAATATTTCCCAGACGGCAAAATGTATGAAATATGTATTAATAATGTATTCAGCAAATGTTTAAGAGTACATTAAGTGTTTCGAAAGTATACATTATGTATACATTAAGTGCTAATTTTTTAAACAGTTTATGACAGCAATTATGAATGTTTAAACGATACATAATGTGAACATTATGAATACAAAATGAAAGCAAATTTATGGACTCAAAATGTTTAAATTATGTTTACACAATGAGTACTTTATATGTAAAAAATGTGTAAATTATGAATACCAATTTGAAGAGATAATATAGGAAAGAAACAATAGGGTCGATAAAAGAAAAAACGTATTATGTATGAATTTGCAACAGTAAATTCATAATTTAATTTTATTAATTAACATACACACAATAAAAGCTTTTAATAAAGTTTTTTTTAAATAATACAATTAAAAAGTATAATGCTTTGTTAAAACAACAATTCCTAAAGTAAATTAATCATATTAAAAACCAAAGAACTGTAGTTCTGAACGAATCTTAAGTTACCAAACATTTTTTATTTCAATATTTTTTTTCTTACGTAATATGTGAGCAAATTCGAATAATTTGGCCACTTTTGCATAAAAAGTAAATTTGAAAAACTTAGCTGACTTTAGTCACTGGTGGTAAGAGCACTCTTTACTATGAGATTGGACAATTTTTGTAAGAGAGAGAGAGAGAAGATGAAGAAGAATTAATTTTAAGGAGGTGACTTTGACATATAGAAAATAACTGCAAAGAAACACGTTAACGTTTTCAATTTTTTCTTGAGTAACTAAAAAATTAAAAAAATTGACTCATGTTTTTACTGTAGTTTTCTCTGCGTGAAAGTATATACCTCTTACAAAAATTTTCCAATGTCATTGAAAAGTGTGCTCTTAGCGCCAGTGAGTACAAAAGCATTGTTTAACGTAATCTGAGCGGTCAAGTTATCTAAATTATCTTATGTATTTTAAAAAATTACGTTCTATGTTTTATTTAAAAAATTTTTTGGTTTTATCATTGTCCATTATTAGCTTTATTAGCGGTTTTGTTCAGTCGATCTCTGCAATGTTGAATCCACGATTTTGCCGCATCAAAACATTTTTTTTTGGTATACCCGGGGTCCATTGCAGCAACTGCGTCTGAAAAAAAATCATATTTTCAATAATTATTTTTCTAAATTTTTTGTCAAAATATTTTTAATTAAACTATCTTACCGACTAATTCTTTTAGGAAAACCTCATTCTGAAAAGCTCTCTTCTTCAAAGGCTCTCCCTCTGAGCTTTCTCTAGTGTTGCCCGACCATGTAAAGGAACTATCGAGAAAGGTGTCATCAACGATATCTTTTAGCGAAGCTCTCATGGTGTCGCCCAATGACTTCCCTCCAACTCTTTTGATGTATGTTTTCTACATGAAAAAAAAGAAATTTATTATTAGTTTAACTATATAAATCACTCTTATCCATCATTGAAAAAAAAATTGAAATACTTACAAATTCTTTTCGAGCTGCCTCTGAATTTTCTAATAAATAATTAAGATCATTAATATCTGCTTCTGATTTTATAGGGAATCTAGGTAACAAAGACTTTTCCTGGTCATGTTCAATTTCTTTACTTGCTTCTTTTGAATTCTGGACCATAATTTCAATCCTGGAAAGTTTGTTTATCACGCGTTCCATGGCCTGTTTGAAGACTTTCTCTGATATGTATCCTATAAATGTATCAATGGCAATATAATTTATTTATCTTCAATTGCCCTATGTCATTCGTCGAAATAGTAGGAAAGTTATTTACATTTTGGATTGATGGTCGAAAAAAATATTTTTTTAACCAACAAGCCGAAAGTTATTAATTTAGAAGCATGAACGAATTAATACGACAATATTGTCAAACTATTATTTTATATTTTCACAGCCCCTGAAGACAGACAGAAAGTCTGACCGAAACGTATGTTTGATTTATGTGTAGTTATTTAAAAAAAATTTAAGTTTTTGTAAATTTAGACTATTTTTATTAAAATAATTTTTTCAGCCACAAATTTCAATAATAAATAACTTTCTTACTAACATTACAATATTAATTTAAATCAATTCCACCATAAAAGAATTAGAGTCAAAAAATCTACCTCCGACAGGGGTCATTTCATTTGAAAATAGGTTTGCTTGGACGGCCTGATCTTTCTTGAGATACGTTGAAGTAATTTCGAAATTTGGCTCTTCGTATTGGATTTCATTTCCGTTTTTATCATCGCTACTTATAGAGAATTCTTCTTCGCTATTTTTTTCACTACCATACGAGATTTTATCTTGATCTTCTTCAGGAAGACTTAATTGCGTATACTCTTCTTGATGAAAACTCGGCGGCCGCGAAGTTAGGCGTGATTTTTTACCTGGAAACATTGAAGTTTCTACTGTCAGTTTGAAATTGTAACATGGAAAAGAAAATTTTGAAATGAGAAATTATTATAAAAAAAGAAATTTCACGAAAAATGCAGTTCTAAAAAAAACACGTGTGGCAAACCTGCTCCCATCGAGCGAAATCTAGACATTACTTGCGGATTGGGGTTTCGTCAAAAACTGTATTTTTACCTAGGGAGCGATAACGAAAGTTGCAGATTTACGGATTCAAAACGAAAGTCATGTAATTATTAGCTTAAACTTCGCCGTGGTTGATAAATTATAAGTCCTCTGAGACTGTTCAGTTTTTCGCTTCCTAGGTACAAATCATACAATAAAGTGGTTTTTACTGCTTTTTCTTCAAGTCACTGAATGAAAAGTCAAAAATCGATTTCATATTTTTTATGAGAGGGTATAAGGTACGTAATTTTTTGCATTCTTACGCCAAGGATTTGGAACACCATCATAGAGTGCTGATTTCATAAAATCATCATATGTTTTTTCATGTGTTCGAGCTCGGTTCTCAAAATATTTTTTCATGTTAATTACAGCTTTTTCGAGATCCGCAAGATTTTCAGAATTTTCACTTGAACCTATGAAAATGAAATGAACCTTTTTACAAATTATGTCAATAGGTATGCAGTTTACTATGTTAATTGCTATTTCTAAAATCTCGGCTCTCGAACTCTATTTGTATGTACTATTACATACAAAAACTGAGCTAAAATCAACGCGGATTCATTCTTGATCAATCTCTTTTGATCACTCCTGACATAAATAAATTGACTTTACACCACCATTTTTTCGAACGAAAAATTTTTTTAATTGAAAAATAGGTACACGATTAACATATATATAAATAATTTATTGCAAAAAACCTAAATTATTAAAACTGTAAATTATTAAAAATATTTTACCTCGATTGCCATTTTCATCGGCTGAATCTTCATCAACTTCGCTTTCCGAATTTGCATATTTTCGATTTGGTTTATGTTTTCTTTTTCCAAGAGGTTTAAGAGCATTTGACACGATAGTATCTGAGTCTTCCGCCGTACTCACGTCAGTGCTGAATTTTTCTACTTGCATTGCAGTTGTCTTATCTGAAAACAATTTTCATTCGTTATTTTTATCCTTCAGTTTTTACCAGCCATTGAGGGCCTCATATGCACTCAATCCTAATTTTAATTGGCTTAGATGAGAATAGGAACTTGAAAAAAAATCGCTCAAAATTAAAATCCTAGAAAGTTAACAGTTCTATTTAAAAATTGAAACCAAATTTAATTTAGCATTTCATTTTTAAAAATCTAATGTTTCAAAATTTTCGAAACATTCGAATTCCTAGACATTTCAAAGTTCTGTATACGAATATATAATTTTCTGAAGATTTCTGGTACGAAATACATCTTAAAATATACTCACCAAAAGGTCCAATGATCTTTTTATAAGAGTATTCTTTCCAATCTTTAGTTGGCAAATAATTTTCCATTTTTGCCCTATTTATTTGTGTATTTGGCCAACACAAACTTTTTTCTTCCATCTTTAACCATGATTCGGGAACTGCCGATACTTCGTTGTCCCAAAACACCACGTAGTAATTTTGGGTCTGTAAAACAACAAAAAAAAAATAACTTTGTGAAACATCGGAATAAAAATAATATCTCATTTGGTAGAATGAGAAAGTATGAGTCATACTAATTATAAATGTAAAAGAATTATATTTATATAGATGAAGTAGGCATATAAAATTAGGTGGAAAATAAAAGGAAGGAAGTGTTTGCAAACAATTTTTTAAATTTTTTCAATATGTCGCGTAGTCGCAATTTATGATTAACACTTCAAAATGTATCGTATTAAAGTGTTTTAAAAAATTTATATTTCATTATTTGGTAAATAAATACCGTCATGCCGTTGTTAACAGTCATATTTTTAAAAAAATTTTATTGAAAAGTTCGAAATTTAATTAAATTTTACACAAAGTACTTATTAATAGATTTAGTAGTACGAAAACCTACAAATCGCAGCTTTGCACTACTTTTAGAAGTGTACTGTGCAAAGTAATACGGATATGTTTTGTCAACGAATCTCGTAACAGCACGAGTCCTAGGCGAGTGCCGTATCCGTTATATTAAGGTAGTTCCCTCAAAAAAATGACTATCGATAAAGGGTCTTGAAATTTTAACCACATATTATTGACAGTACTTTTTATATGTGTGAGAAATTTCAGGAAATTTAACCGAACCATTTCCGAAATATAATTAATCAAAGTTTGGTACTTTAACATGGGATCCCTATGCTAGCGCGTCGAAAAGACGCTATTTTGTGTGATTATAAAAAAACGCATCGATAAATTTTTTTCAAAAACTAGGAAATGATTGTTCAGTATGTTCTAAAACATAGCTAAAAAACTGAAAAAAAATTGAACAAACAGTCTTTGGGAAAAGTTAATGTAAAAACATTGCAAAAATAAAAATCTTAATTTTTTGACCTGAAACCCACTTTTTAAGGTTTTTAGGGTCATTTCAAACCTGTTGTTTAAAATAGACTAAGTTTAAGTCATGGAATTCATAATTCAAAAATATATTTATTATTTTTCAATATAATTTTATTTATTTTATTATAATTTTTTCAATAGTAATTTTAATAATTATAATTATAGCAATATTAATTTTATCTAAAATCTGTTGTTCACGAGCTATAAACGATTCAAATTTAAACAATTTTAATAAATGAATCTTTGCGATTTTTTATCTCAATAACTATCAACTCTACGAAAAATTTTAAAAGAACAAAGTCTTAGAATTTGTCAAAGAAAGCGTATGAATTTTTTCAGATTTTTTTTAGACATATGCCTAAATTTGTCGGTCAGGTCTGAGGGAACATCCTTAAGTATTATTTCGTAATTAAAATTTTCAAATAGATACAAACGTTGAAAATAATTTTTTGCGAAAATATTTCCATACTTAAATTAATAGGTGAAAAAGCTGGAAGTAGAGTAGCAGCAGAAACTAGTGTGTTATTTTGGGATAATTCTTGTTTGAATAAGCAAAGTTAACTTAAAATTGTTTGTCAATGTAGAGAAATTTATGGTCTTAGATCCTAAGAATGAGATATATATTTACCTTCTACTATATAGCTCATCAGTGCAGAAGAGGTACCACGTACACATGATCTTTGAAATTGAACAGACATACTTTATTTTTAATTTGCGAAACAGGATAAACTTCCAGTTGAGATTGTTTTTCTACTTTGCATATTCCAATCAATCTAGAGTCAATGGGATAATTTTTAATGGAACTAGTTTTTGTAAATCTTTTTCCGATCACAACAATTACATTGTTCATTTTTCCAAAATGCTCTACGGTAACAATAATGCCATCATTCATGACACAACAATTATCTGGTGGAACGGTTGATAGTTCAAAATTCTTAAATTTCAATTTTTTATGGGCATCTGTGCATCCATAAGGTAATTGTTGGTACGAGCGTTGAATTAATTTTGGATTTTGCGATCCCTCATTATTACGCTTACAAGATGGTTGACGATTTTCTTCTAAGCGACGGTGTATCTGCTGCAGAGGTTTCTCATGTTTCCTTAATAAATTTTTCATAAATTTCATGTTATTTTCAAAAGGAAATGCGCTAAAAGTATCTAAAGGTCCATATAACTTGACACAATCAGTTAAATGAATTAGTGCATGAACATTCGATGTTACGTATTCTTCTGCATAAACATGCTTAAATTGATCAAAAAAATAATTTAACTGCAGATTGGCGTTATTGGCATTACGATGGCACTCTGCAGGATCGCATAGGATGCGTATTGCTAGGCTTAAACAATTAAAATGTAACACAAAGTCGTCTGGAAGTGATTCATTTAATATTATAGGTCCACAATATAACAGAAATAGTCGACATGTAGTCGCTTTCCACCAATTTAATTCGAAAAACGATTGAGGTTTTCGACTGAATTCCTGAGGAATATACTTGGACAAATTCAGAAAATTCTCTGAAAGCGTTTCAGTTTGATTGTAAGAAAATCTAGGTTTGAAATTAATCCACAACTTTATTAACATCTTGGTTACTCCAAGGAGTGCCATATGCATATAATCAATCGGAAATTGATCTACCATGTCGATTTCCAATTCTTCGAAAGGTGAGTAGCCCAAGTGATGCTCAGGCTGAGATCTATTTCTAAACGATTCATTTGTTCTTAAAGTTAAGTTGGCCTCCAGAAAAACGACTTTTTTTCTCCATGAACCTTCTACTACACATTTGGAACAACCAAAGTAACCATTAAATTGCTTTGTGTTAGAGCAAAAACTTCGAGCAGGACTATCACATATCACGCACCGTAATTTTACTTTGTAAGAGTTTTCTCTAAAATTAAACCCCTCTGATCTCAGGTTCTTATATTCATTTATAAACGGTCTTAAATAATCTTCTATTGAAGATGGTTTTTTGAATCCATGATACACGCCTATGACAAATGGAGTTAATTCGCCAACAATTAATCCTTGGATTGGCCAGAGTGTTCTCTTTGATGATTTAGAAATTGGCAATCCATCTATATTAATGTCTATAACTATTTTCGAAGGTAATTTGCGACCCTTCAGAATATTAACAAGGGCGTTTTGCAAACCTCTATGATAATATTCTCCAGGAGAGCAAGGTGTAATAATAGTTTTCTTCGGAGTCTTAACTATAGATCTAATATCCCTGTGAAGATCATCATGTCCAGCTCTAATTAAAATTGATAGTAAATTATTCATTTGTTCTCTCGTTACATTCGAATTGTGATACCAATCTCCCAAAGCCTGTTCAAAATTAAATTCTTCTTCATTGTCATCATCGTGAAAGTCATTATAATCATCGTCGTCATCGCTAAAATCACATTCGTAAAAATTTTCATCTGAAGCTTCTGAAAATTCAGCAGTTGGATCAGTATCTTCAAAATTTAAAGTGCTTCTAAATAAATCATACTCTTGATTATTATCTGTCAAGTTATGATCAGAACTACTTGAGGCAAGATCATCACTAGTAGTTGGTTCCGCAGTACTAAATAAAAGTTCCAAGGCATGTGATTCTGTATCAGGTTCTGGTCTAATCGATAAATTTGATTCTAAGGTAGAATCCAAGTCGTAATTATTCGATATCATTTCCGTTTCAT